GGGGACCATGAATGTTGGTACGAAATGTCATGGCAATCCTTTCCATTGTCGAGTCAAGTGTTTCAGTCCTAAAACTCTGCAGTCAAACTAGAAACCATGTGTCACAATTCAACGGCTACTTAACGAGGGCACCTTGGTGAAAATACTTTCTGCACATTTCACAAATGATGCAGCTACTCAACGATGTACATTTCATATTTAAAGTTAAAGTATACGTTATTTTGACCACACAATTTGAATGTTGAGTGTGGATTGTAAAATCGCTAATAATTCCAATAATGGGCAGAGTTTCATCTTTTATCTCCAGTGGACTCTAGAGGAAAGACTGCCCCTGCAGGTATTTCTTCTATAATGATGTGTACAATGGTGGACAATTAGGTGCGGAATGATGATTATTAATCTCTGGATGGCTTCAGCCGAGCAATCTGATGCCATAAATCTTAATTTGTTTAATGCCTGAAGTAAACCCACACTCAATACTGATTAGGCCTACATTTAATTCTTCACCCAAGGTGCTACACCACAGAGAAGTGATTTAAATGGAAATTTGCTTATTCCATTTTAAGTACTTGCAAGAGACCAGCGATTAGAATTTAATTTTAAAGTTAGAAGGTGCATTGTGGCTCAGACAGAAATTGGTTTTACACTGGAACTGTAATATTTGAAGCAAAATAAACCTTTTTCAAAGAATGAATTACTGACTCTCTTAAATCTAAAGCAACAGAGAAGTACGTGTGATGCGCTCGGGGAGTGTTTCTGAACAAGGTTACAAACAAAACCTAAAAAAGGTAAACTTCCAGGGTCTCACAGTCATAACTAAACTCAACATGCCCACTAAAACGAAAAGGTTTCTGCTGTTTCTGCTCGAGATGTTTTTAAAATGAGCAAAAGAGCGACATAAGAATCAGGGAAGACAAACTCGTTTTCCTGAGATTCCTAAGCAACCGCTGCTCTGCTGTAAAGAGGATTTCATTATATAATATTTTCCTCTCTTTGTACTCAAGAGAGGTCTTGTGCAGAGGATATCGAGAGCGGCACAGCTCCTGTGTAACCACACTGCCCCCTACTGAGGAGAAAGACCACCACGGAGCTGGTGCTCCACGGCCTTTTGGCAACAAAAAAAAGGTACAGAGAACCCGGTCAATTCCAGAGCAAACCACACTCCGTCACAGCGTTTAATTGGTTTTTGTTGCCACGTGAGGATCTGAGAGTTCGGTTTTACAGCCAACAACTCTCCAGTGCAGAATGACTCAAGACAAGCTGCCTGAGATTTCATATGTTTGCCGAAGTGAAGAAAAAAACATGACAATAAATAGAAAAACCAAGACACATACATATATGTTCCTTTTTTTTTGAGCAGTAATTCAAAACAGCGATCACCAGAGAAAGAGAACAAATTCACTTCGATGACTTGACAGTTTTATGCTGACATTTCATTTGGCTTAAATCCTCACTGAGTCAATAACACATGTGGATTGGTGATGTAATGTTTTATGCCGCGTCAGACACACCTGGTTTAAAAATAAATAGGACAACCTGCCACTTTTCCATTAAACACACCATGAAATTGATTGAGCCGACCTCTGTGATGTTGTGATCTATGACGTTTTCCACCTTTTCCACCAACCGTTAACCACGACTGGATGAATGGAACCCCGTGTTTTGGTATTATTCTGACCCACATTGAAATGACAGTTGAGCTCTCGATGCCCCCGACTCTCCCTTTTCTTCTCCAACCCGAACAATGTGAAGTCCCCCCCCCCTGCTGTGGAAACTCTCCACTCATCCTTTTCAGAGCGAGCAGATGTGAGATCTGACATCTGAGAGTCGACCCTCAGTGGGGAGCTTCACAGGAAGAGAAAAACGATGGAGTGTATATATATATATATATTCTCTTTTTTTTCACGACGGGAAAGTGGGTGCACAGTTCACGGCTTCATATCACAGGGAAGAAAAAAGGAAATCAAGAGCAGAACATGAGAGGGGGGTTAAAGGAGTCTATTGAATGGTCAGCACCTTTTTTCTACGGCTATGATCCGGCTTCTGTCTCCCTCCAGCGGTGAGACGATGTTTCAGGCTATTCGTGCAGCAGGGGGGGGGAGTAAGTAAGACCACCTCCCTGCAGTGATTCCCGAGGCTCCTGCTGTATCTGCACTGAGAGCGGTCGATGGGCGAGTGCAGGAAACACAGTCGGGTCAGTCGGCCGGGAGCCGCCTGCTTGTCTGCTTAAATGGTTTTACTGTATCAGGGGATGATTATAGCTGAGCAGGAATGATGCATATATTAAGTTTGAATCTCACTTTCAGAGAAAAGTCTTAGCGAAATACATTAAAAGGTAAAGGTTTTGTTTAAAAATACAATGGGCTCACATTCCAAGATTTATTTCATTTCATTGTGGAAACTGGTTTTCTGGTCAAATGACCAGGGATTGAACTTAAAACCAGACTAAATGTGCATCATGTTATACACCCAGTTATATCTAGATATCTACAAATGACATCGCTGAAATCAGATTACCTGATATTTAACCTTAAGACATCTTTTAAACCATAATTTACCAACCATTCGATTTTAGTGTTGAAATAGTTAAGAAATACTTAATAGTCTTGGACAGAAAAATAATTCTAATCATCCAGTTGTTATAAAACATTTGAAATCACGTTCACATCATGCTTCTCCAATGTGAGAAATGACTCACTTTTATTTGCTTTTTGGGGCCCAGAACTAAAAAAAAAGATTTTATTCAGAAAACAGTGAACAAGGACAAGGAGGCATGTGTACCAAATATAATAGAAAAAGCTCAACCGTCTGTCCAGCGCCATGATCATAGAATCTGGTGCCAGGGAGACCATGACCGATAATCCACCTGCATCTTTTGAATCCCAATGAAAAGAAGCGTAACTCTCCATAAAATGGTACCTTGCGCTCTGGTTCTCCATTTGTCCTCCGGGCACAGGATTTGGGGTCAGAAGAGCTAGAACATGATGCTGTCTTTGGTGCTGCAAAATGCAACCTGAGGCAGTAGGACACCCTGCATACTGCATTGGACGTATTAGGACATCAGAATCATTATGTGGCGGTGCAGAATGGGAGGCTGATGTCTTTTGTTTCGCAGACATTTGACCATAAACCCAATGCTCTGAAAGTTTCTTCCTCTCTTTAGTTATCTATCTGAACGTTACGTCCAAACATGCGGTGGTCAAAGTCAGAGATCAGGTGTGACTGTAGCAGCATAGGCCGAGTGCACGAAGCGCCCCGGACAGGACGCTGACGGTTCACAGGTTGCCATTGATTTACTGCTCAGCGTGAGACACAGGAGGGTCTGCAGACACACGAGCATCACTGAGACATCAAACTAAACATGTAAAGTTCTCTGCTTCATACGTGGGACCCCGAGAGGAGGAGGGCCGTGTTCGTGTGAATATACGCTACTGAATGTGATCCTGTAATCCGGTCATTCATCTTCTAAAAGTCACACGGGTCGATTCTCTGACTGGGTTTAACATTTGAGGAAGACAATACGTGCTAAAGGCAATATTTATGAAGCACATTATCTATGGGTTTTTCCTGCGAGGCAACAAATCAACGTCCGCTTATCTCGAAGCAAATGCAGGCGCATTATTTTATATTTTATGAAGTATTTGATCATATTGTATCACTTTCGATTGTGAATTTTTACAATGAAGGCTGTGATTTGAATTACTTGTGGTTTTACGTAACACAAGGCAGTTCTGAATTTTGAATATGGCGCTTGGGAACTGCGGGTCTGACGCAACAGACCCGCAGAATGTAGAAGTCAGACGGATTCAGTCACTCAAAAGTTGCGCTTGCTTTCAAAATTCACCTCAAAATTTATAGGCTGAAGTTAGAAGTTATGTAAGTATTGAGAAGCTGCTCTTTTCATGACAGGAAGAATAATATAGAATACTTATCTTTTATTTGACTTGACCTGGAAAAAAAAGTCGCTCCTCGCGTCCTGTGATGTGAGTATTTAGTGAAAGCAATGGTTCCAACATTTTATCTTATCTTATTGTTGTCTTCTATGAGAGGAAGCTGACAACTTGGACCTGTTTGTCAAACAAAACAAGATATTCAAAGACATTTGTCCCTGTGAATGTGTGGCGATCACTTTCATCTGACATTTTATACACCAAACGATTCAACTCCAACGAATCTGTAGATAAGTGGGAATTCACTACAACCCCCACAATCAAAACCTTAATCCTGAGCGATTACTACTCCACAATCCACTGCTCGTCTATTTGTAAACGCTATGAAGTTCTGCCCCTCCGTTTTCAAAAAAGTTTCTGTTTATATGAACCCGCATAAATACGGCCCGGGGCGCCATCATAACTATGCCAAACCTGTAAAGACACGCAAACCAATCAGAATTCTCAAAACCAACAACTACGAAAAAGTCGCATACTGTGACGTTTGACAACCTAAAACTCCGTTTGACCGAGTTCACACGCAAACACCAAAACAGAGTTTTCAGAAATCTCCACTTTCGTTTCGTTCGTATCGTTTTCCGTGATAAAACCTCAGTTTTTGTGTAAATGAAAGGCCAAAACGCATGAAAATATATGCGTTTTCCCATCGTGTAAACGGGGTCTCAGACATTTTGACTAATTAATCAATTAAATACACCTGTGCTTTTCCATCCTTCGACTAGACAAAAAAAGCCTGCAGTGACAACAGTGACCGCCGGAAAGTCCAACCAAAGACAACCACACAGAGAGAAGGCCGCAGGGACCAGGACCTGGGTGACAAGAGCGATGTTTGGTGGGGAAAGGACATGAAAAGTCTCATAACTGCTGTCAAAGTGACACACAATTATCTTGTTTCCCCTCCTCCCCCACGATGTACTCTTCAGTCACTCACTGTAGAAACCTTCCATTTCCAGTGAAAAGCTCGACCATTTTGTGAGCGGGGTCCCGTATGTCTGACCCACTAACACATTTCTGCTGCTCGGTGGGCGCGGTGACGTCACGACGGGGCGGAGCCGCGCGCGTTCAAAACACCGCTCGCCCTCCCCGCTTTTCCGCTTCCTGCCCTCTTTTTGTTTAGCGCTGCTTTTCGCTCCCCCGTAGCGCTTTTTTGAAGTACTTCTCGCATCGTCGGCTTTTTCTTATTTTTTTTATTTTTTATTTGCTCTTCTCAGACGATGCGGCCGTTTTCCGCATTCTCCCCCGGAAACGCGCTTGTTTTACCGAGATTCTCTAACGGCGCCCGACTGTTGTTCGCTTGCCCGCTTGTGGCTTTCGGCGGATATGGACTCCGTGAGAAATAAAAGCGCATAAATGCGCCCGCCGTCGAGGGGATATCCCGCGTTTGAAACCGAGGAGGTAAGACCGCGTTTCAAGTCAAACAACAACAACAAAAAGAAAACGCAACACAAAAACATGACGTCTTTTTGGACCCGCAGCATCACCGGTGACGCGGCCGCAGCGCGACGTGCAGCATCTCACGCTGCGGTAAAGCCGCTAAAGGCCACTCGCTTTAAACGCTTTGCATCGAACGAGTCGCCTCCAACCTGCAAGTGCAAGTTGTTTTTGCAAAGTGAGCGATTTCCTGCCCGCTGCATTGAGCGAAGCGTGTTTACCGGATTATTAACTGTGACTGTATGAAACATTAAAGATGAGGGCAACAGACTGTATCACCTCTGATTCACATACACCTCTAACACTTTATATAGACTATACAACATGACACACATTCAATTACACTGCCAACACAATGTGTGCACACCTACATCTCCGTTTACTACTGACACACCTGACTCCCGTCATTTGTCTACAGGCCGCGTGCATACCTTTTTTTTTTAATGTTGTGTTGCCTCCTCTTCCTCAGGCGCGTGGGCCCCCGGCTGCAGCCTGGCCCGCGCCGCGGCGCCGATGAAGAACCCGAGGGCCGCGGGGAGCCGTCGGTTGGCGGGCCTGCTGGAGGCCGCGCTGCTCAGGGAGACTCGTCTCTGGAAGGTGCCGGTCTTCAAGAATGGAGGCGTCCAGGTGAGACCAGCGGGACTCTTATGTTTTTTTTTTTTTTTTCATAAAGGGCGTTGCTGAAACATTAACAGGCCGCCGGATTTCTACTATTCATTCATGTTAACCGGTGGACGTGTCCTTCGACCGCTCACAGGGCGCTGACGTCTCTTCCTCCCAACACCAAGAAATGATCCTCTGGCTCGGCGAGATGAACCGGATGTTCCATTTCTGTCCAGAGACCTTCGCGCTGGGAGTTTGTGTCCTCAGCCGATTGCTGTTCACTGTCAAGGTAGACCGCTACACGAGTGACCTTCAACCTTTTCAACCATCCGACCATCGTTTAGGACCTACATTTTTAAGTCTGTTTCGATTTTAGTTAATTAGGCACTATGCCAAAGATTCATGATATTTAATCTGTATTTTACATCACAGTTAAACAGCTGTGCAGAGTTTATTTAAAAGCTAATTGGACTTTGGAATTGTGATTGAATTTGGGCTCAAAAATCCAAACCTCTCTTTTTTTCCCGACAATACACAGCGTGTCATTTCCTCATTCTTGGATCTTAAGAATCACACGGTGTCTTTTTGTTTTCATAGGCCCAAACAAAATACCTGAAATGCATCGCTTTTACCTCGTTGGTCCTGGCTGCCAAAATCAACGAGGAAGACGAGGTAGGACGCGTCTGATCGCCATGACAAAAACTCACGTCAACGCCGTTTCCAAACAAGACGTTTATTGGTTCCCTTTGTCGGTGCCTGTTTTTAAACAGGTGATCGGTTCTGTTCAGGATCTGGTTGTGCAGAGCGGATGCAACTTTTCAACAGCGGAGATTCTTCGCATGGAGAGGATCATTCTTGACAAGCTGAACTGGGACTTGTACATCGCGACGCCGGTCGACTTCATTCACATAGTGAGTTGGCAGACGTTCTTCTTTCTTATTTTATATTAACATAATAATAATATGAAATATAATGGAATGGTGCTTGACCTACAAAAAAAAATAAAGTGTGTGAAACAAAGCAACAAAGACCCGTTTTTAGCACAAGATGTGAACGGAGGTGTGTCTCATGGCTGCTAGCCGAATAAGAGTAAGAGGCGACGGCACCGACTTCCTGCTGCCGAACCGTTTTATCAAACCTCACGAGACTTGAGAGCGACCGTTTGGGTTGAATCCATAACGTGCCGTGTGGATTGTCCCGTGCTGCGTCACTGAGTTTATGGCACATTATTGTTTAACAGCTCGTCTCTGTTCTCGGTAGTTTAATTATTAAACTCTCACAAATCATTGATTGAGGCAGTAACCACCGACTGAGCTGGAAACGCACACAGAGCATCATGCCGTCATCTCAGACGTAATGATCCTAAAGGTCACCAAGTGTCGCCCAACTTCTACGGTGGATGTAAAACGCGAACCCTTAACATGTGTCAAAGGAAACGAATGCTCCATGACTGCAGCCCGACAGTTTCACCCACAATGTATTGATTCACAGCATTCAGGGGATTTCCATTGACACAACTTCCTAATTACCCTCCCCACCCGTACCCATCCCTCACCTGTGTTATTATGTTTTGCGATTATTAACATTTGGAGAAAAGCCACAAACAAACTATAAAACATGTCATTTCTGACAGTCACAATCTGACTGGTATCAATGTCGTAGTTATTGTCCGAAATGATTATTGTCCCCGCAACTCCACTTTAGGTTTTACAAAAATCTTTTGAAATTAAGAGACATAATGTATTGATAAAAACTATAATAAAATAAAGACATTTTCTCTTTATACTATTTGAATAAATACATTTTTTTCAAATAAATATTTTTTTGAACAATTCCGTATCTCACAATTCCATCTCCTGCCCCGCAGGAATTACTTTGCTAAATCCTCTGTAAAACAGCAATCGACAAGCTCTATTAGTCACAGACTCGCCACCATGACACTTTGATATGGATTAATAGGAGGATTTACAGCGACGCTTTCTCTCCCTGTGCTTCAGTAAAGGCAGACGGACTGCTGTGTGACACAAGCCGGCAATTCCAATTTCTTTTTGCTACGTTACAAAAATTCCCAGATTTCTCGTAACGTGAAGTGGGAGAACACGTTGAGGGACTTTGTTTCTTTTTTTAGTTTTAAAATGTTAAAAGCAACTTTTGCACAGATTTCCGTCTTGCGCCACACAGAAGAATCTGCCTCCGCCGAGCTCCCCTCTCTTTAAAAACCGGCGGCGTTTTGCTACACGACGACACGAATGCAGGAAACGCAAAGACACGTTGGGGGGGGGGGGGGACGCGTTGATGTTCATCCCGTTTTTGAGTATGAAGAAAGGGACTGAAGCTCGAAGAGGAGCCTCCTCTCAGGTCATGAGCTACCGTTCCGGCCTACAAATGGGAACACAGAAAAGCACGTACGATACGAACAAGTTACTATGGTTCCTCCGGCAGACGGGCGGCTCTACCTCGGTCTAAAAACCTGACGGCGAGATTCCGCTCGCGGTGTCCTCCTGTTGGACTCAAAGGAAAAATGCGTTGACCTTTTCTTTTCTTTTTTACGTCTGGCATATAAGGTTGGACGTTGACTGACCAGGTAGCACAGGTTGGGTGGACAATGACATCATCACGCTAACGTTTCGGTCCCCGTGTCCTCTCTCCGGCCCAGTTCCACGCCCTGCTCGTCTGCGGCCACCCTCACCTCGTCCCGTCCATCGGGCCCGGCTCCGGCGTCGGCTGGGACTCTGAAAAGGACCCCGCGGCGCCGCCGATGCCGGGTCGTCAGAAGAGGCCGGCGGGCTTCCAGGCGGCGTTGTGGACCAGGCAGGTGCAGCACTGTATGGCCTGCCACCAGCTCTGGCAGTTCAAGGGTTCCACGTTGGCCTTGGCCATCATCACTTTGGAGCTGGAGGCGCTGACGCCCGACTGGTTCTCCGTCTTCACCGACCTGCTGAGGAAAGCACAGGTAAGAGGGGGGGGGGGGGCACGGGCGCCATTCTGCGAGATTGCACGTGCAGCGGAGGCGGCGGGACGTTACATGTCTGAGGACGCCAGAGTTTGACTTGATGGAATCCGAATACGTGTTGGTTAATAAATGGCAAGATATTGCAGTACAGTTTGAGCACACATACGTACTTTTAAATATATATTACTTGGAAAAAAATGTCTGCGCAAACTAAAAAAACAATTGTAAATAGAAAACACATCAGTACTTTGATAGATTGAAGCTGGAAAGGTTGAATAGAAGATTCTCACTCTCCTGGCCGCCTGTTAATTAATTAAATTCGACCTCTTGATTTCCAGTGACCTTAAATAAAACCTTTTTCCTCCTTGACACTGGTTGGTCGCTTGGGGTGAAAAAGACACACTTTCAAAACCTGGTCAAGCGCATTAGTGACCACATTGGGGAGGAATGCATCTTTTCGTGATCTTTGAGAGCACAAACCTGAACTTAAAGGACTCGCACCCTCTCCGAGTGCCGAGTTAACTTAGTCCTTCTGAGAGGTGAACTGTGACTCGGCGGGTTTGACGTTGCAGCGCTGCCGTGTCTTCGCTCCCGCAGGTCGACAGCGGCGACTTCATCCACTGCAAAGAGATGGTGGACGAGTACCTGCGGAGCCCCGAGTTCTCCCTGCCGACCAACGCCGTTTACATCTTCCAACGCGCCCAGATCCGCGATGACGAAGATGAGGCGGATGATGATGATGATGATGATGATGATGATGATGAGGAGGAGCGGGCCCGGAGCCCCACCCAGCGTCTCAGCACAAGGAGGAGGAGGAGGCGGGCCGGCGGACAGCAGGGGGACTCGGACGAGTACTACGACGGCTTTGGGTGCCTGTATGACGAGGGGGAGGCTCTGGGGCCGCGGGGGCCCTGTCCGCCGCTGCACCCCGCCGACGACTAGTGGGGACATTTCGTCCACGCCGTCCATGTTTCATGTCAGCGCAGCTCAGCTCAGGACCTCGGCGTCCCCGGGTCCACACGAAGTGGTGGGGAATCGTTTAGCCTGACTGAATCGGTCCATTCAAGTTTGACTCGTTATTAATGGATTAATTTTGACTTTTTTTACCTACGTGTCCTTTTTTTGTATCTGCCACTTGTTAAACAAGATGGAGGCTGAAGGATAAGCATGAGGCGGTGATGAAGTTTTATTTGAATGGATATTTTAATGTTTGAGAGGTGAGCCTGATTTAGTTTGTTGTATCTTGGTGCTCAGGTTCCCGCCCAGATCCACTCAGCACTTTGAGATGAAGGAACTTTTTTTATTTTATAAATGCAAATTGTATTTTTCCACAACCCCTTTTTTTTTTTTTTTTTTAAGCATTTTAACCTCCAACTGACTTGTACTAATTTCTGTATTTTATTTTTACTCTGCAGTTATTTACAAAAGCTACCATTTACAAAGTGCTTTAATTTCCTGACTAAATGCTGCAAATGTTTTTCATTAATAGTTCAGTCATGCAACTGCGGTTCCTCATTTAAAACGTGAGCACCTTCGGGAAGTAGACAAAGGAAAGGTGTGGTTTTGAAATCATGATTACCTGATTGATGACAAGTCATTGACTTTTATTTATTACACTGTAGACGAGCATCAATAATACTTTCAGTATTGGGATACAAGTATCCTGTTTTCCTTTTGTAAACACCACCTAGAGCTTTCATCCTGATGGCGACGTGTAAACTTAAACTGTATTTTAATAATGGCCGACGCCGGAGCGCGTCTGGAGGCGTGGCCTCCACCACCTCACACACATATGGAGCCTGTTGCTCATGTGAACCTGTCGGTTATCTCAACTGTAAAAAGTCTGCTTAGATTCCTCCAGTCAAGCGGGACGCCACGCCTGTGACCGACGTAAAGGATTTTACTTTATTTTCAGATTCCTTGATTTACCGAGGCAGCTGCATCTTATTGCGTGGTCAAAGAAATAAAGCTAAGACTTGTAAAGAGTGATGTCCTACGGTGTTGCTTTTCCGGCCAGCAAGAGATGGAGGAAATATAAAATGGGAGAACGTGTTGTCTTAACATCTAGAGACAAAGTGTCCTTGAGAAAAACACCAAAGCCATTTTATATTAGATCTTTCCGATATAGACAAGAACATACTGGTGTGATTTGGCCCATCATACGTAGTATCCACTAACAAATGTTAATGTGTTTGTACTTATGCTGCCTGATTAAACCTCTTGAGACTGCGTGTGGGCACAAGTGGTACTTTGAGGGCACTTTGCACTTGTCAATCAGAAACATCCGGAGTCAGAACATCCAGTGATAGTATGTTATTAGTTTAAACTTGATAAATCCAAAGTTTAACTGCCCATAAGCATTAGTGTCTTCATCGGTCTGACACTTGAGGTGCGAGCCCTTAACAGCGTCTCAACGCGCTTGTGGCCTCGGCGTCCTGCATGCAGAACAGGCCGTCCGAGCAGTTATCCCTCCGCTTTATGGGGGGGGCTGAAGGTCGGAGAGCGGTGCACAGACGGTGCTCCTGGAAGAGACCCAGGCAGGCCTGCAGGCAGCGGGCAGAATAAGAGCTGGGGGAGCCGTCGCAGTAAAGGACCTAAAACACAACTAAATGAGCGTGCATGGCCCGTGTTGATGACCTTTTCATTTATTTTTTTCATGCTAAAAAGCGGTCAGCGAGAGGTGGAGGCTGTTACAGGCCGCTACGATGCAGCCCTGTGGTAAAACACACACACACACACAGCTGAAGTAAGCAGCAGGGGAGGATTATTTGCAGACTGAGCAAACCTCTCTCAGCTCTTCAGATAGAGATCACTAAACGGGAAACGCTACGTCTCAAGCTGACAGCTGTTGAGGCCGAGTGTGTGTGTGTGTGTGTGTGCGTGCAAAAGCAGCTTCACCTGCCAGTGCTTCACTTTCATCTCCGCTGAATATCAGCAAACAAATCATGGCAGAGACACATCAAAGTCGTGGAGGGGGGGGGGGGGGGAGTGGTATTTATTTCCTGCGACAGTAAATACAGCCGCTCTCTTCTCTGAGTGCACCTATCGGACAGCGAGCTGAGGCGTGCGCGTTTTCCTGAACCCCTGTGCGTGCGTACTGGCTTCCTGGTTGCTGCCACTGTCACAGCGCTCACATCACGGTTTACAACAGTTACATCATTTGTGGACAACGTTCTACCATCGAATGTGCTTCTTACAAGAATATCATTCAAAAACTAGTACATGTTGCATAGTAAGTCGAGTGAGCTCTAGAAAATATTCACATACATTTATTGAGTCAATATAGAACAGCACCAGAACGTTGCATATATCTTTATTAAGACTAATCTTGAGGTGGTCAGTACCTGTGTTTATATAGAGATTTATACAGTAAACAGGTACTTGGTTTTATTGCTTGACAAATATTATTTAGGCTCAGGGATTTATTCTACCGTGAAATGTAATCGAAATTGTGATTACAAAAAGGTTAACAGGCACAACTGACCTCGACAACACTTCCCCGCTCGGGTATTTAAAAAGACTTTAGGAAAGGTTTGATTAGTAATTTAAATGTCAGAGTGGAATAAAATTGAGCAAATCCTACATCCTTTGAATACGCGTTGAACGGGTTTCAAATGACCGGCCGACCGTCTTCGTACCAAAAGGATGAACGTCAGTTTCTGTAAGTAGCTGATGGAAAACCAAAAAAAAACACATAAAAACACAAACTCTTTCATTCACAACATAGAAAAACAAAATGCATGTATGCGCTTATATAAACACATGTAAATATATAAAAGCATAGAATGAAAGATCCTGAATGAATGAGATGGCCATCGTTGGCAAGTGAACGTTTTCTCTCCTGTGGCTTCGTTATGATCGTCATCATCATCCTCAGTGTCTTTGGTCCATGTGCACAATGTCAAGATGGAATGTAAAAACAAAAACAAATACACAAAAAAAACAAGTGATGTCGTTGCAATGGTGATGGAGGACAAATCCATGGTCGTGTGTGGGAGGGTTTACGGCGGCCACAAATTAACTGAAAAACAACGACAAACAATGAACAAAATAAATCGAATGACTGCTTTGTGTAATTGATGAATTAATAATGACAATAATAATGAACAGACAATGAAATAGAGTTGAAGAAAAGAGGCGTTGCAGTAAAGATAAGCAGCCCTGCTTGTTAAAACCTTTAACAACTTTGGAGTCAATTAATCACATCAGAGGTCAAACCGAGGAGTCGTGGGACGTCCCTCACAAGTCCCAAAATGGAAGACGAGTTTCCTCAAACAAACAGAGAGGAGAGCAAAGTGTGTGAGGAGCCACCAGATGGAGCCAAGCGCCTTTGCTTACATTCTCAGACGGGAAGAATGAAGGAAGGATGAAGGATTAACTACGTCATCATTTAGCAGGTGAATTGAGATCATCTCCAACCTCCCAGGAAGTCAGACGCTCACTACAGGAGATCAAGGACTAACTTGGAGACCTCAACATAAACCAAATGTATATATTTACAATGGTTTGCCATTGTAATTCATCCAAAAAGTGTTGGACGAGGTTCAGGTCACGCCCTGGCGCGTGTTCTTGCACACTTAACGTATCTCCTCTATGGAGCTCATTTTGTGCCATTCGTCATGTGGCAACACGTTGGCAGAACAATGTTGTTGTGCGCTAAAGCCTCAGCCGATCCCTAAGGACCGCTAAAAGGAACTTTCCATACCATAAATAGACAAAAAACAGAATAATGGGTCAGTCAGTCAAACTACAGAGATGAACAGACACACACAGACGCTGTCTGAAAACGCATGCCTTAGAAAAAGCCGTCTACATGACGTGCAGCTAATGAGCTACACATGAAAAGGCTGTTTTCTGTTTTGAAGCGAGCCATCAGCGGACTCCTGGAGAAAACGGTGTGTTTGTACCCGGCGTCTCCTCTACAGGAGCCGAGCTTTCAGTCGCTCCACCGCCTCCTCCCTGGGTATCCAGAATAATTAGAGCGAGGCAGAAAGGAACGAGTGAAAGGACGGGAAATGTTCAGCTTGGGCAGGACAGAAGAAAAAAGAAAAGGGAGGACGTTTCCTTAGCACATGCCAGGCCCGTTATAACAGCAGCGAAGCGCTCGTGTGTCGGGAGACGGGTCAGCTAAAAGCCTCGTTAGTGGGACACAGAGAGAGAGAGAAGGGACCAGCGAGCACGAGATGCTAGTGCACCAAGAAAAGAGACATCATTTCACAACCGAAAGCACACGGCGAAAAGACAACGGGGTTAGATAAAGACAGGAGCAGGCTGGGAAGGAGGGAGGAGGGGGGGGGGGGACAGAGCGGCGGGATGGGCTTACTTTTTCCTGTCCTTCTCCTTCTTCATGGGCTGAGCCAAGGAGAGCGTCTCCACCGCCACCTTCTTCCTGTTGAAGGCGTTCATCTCCTCCTCCAGGTCCCTCCGCTTCTCCTCCACCTTCCTCTTCTCCTCCTGGTGCATCCGTTTCAGCTGCTCAAACTTGTCGTGCAGCTGGGGGGGGGAGATGTGAAAAAACACACTTAAGAATAGGAGGTACCTCGCCGCCTCCATCTTGTACCTTGTCAGGTATTAGCATTAGACTTGTAATGTGCTTAAAGCGTAGTATTTGCCGTGCATCCATATAAACAAAAAAAGGAAATGAGACTGACCTCTCTCTCCTTTTCTTTTAGCTCTGCTTCCGTCTCTTTGACCTTGTTGACAAACATTTGTCGCATTTCTTCCTCTTTGCGCTGCAGGTCCCCCAAGAACTCTTTCCTCTTGGCCTCGTACGTCTCTTGGAGGCTGCACAGGGGAAAGGAGAGTGACGTGCATTAGGTATCGCCGCTGACACTTTTGGCTTCATGTGGCCCTCGCTCCCTCCCCTTACCTGAATGGCTGGCTGTCGGGGTCCGTGTCTTTGAAGCCCATCTCCTCCAGCTTGCAGCGTCGGTACAGCTCGTAGTGGCGAGCGTGGGTCTGCTCCCTCAGATCCTCCATGTTGACCCGGATCAGCATCTCGCGGAGCTTCACGAAGTCGCAGTGGCTCTCGTTCTCGACTGCAGGGGGAGAAACGCACGCCGCCGTTAGGAGAGTCGCCACGTCTTAGTCATTGAAGTCGGTTTTGGTTGCCACAGTAACAAACGCGCAGTCGTATCTCGTTTCAGGTACGGCGTCTTTATTCCTCGCCTTCACGCTGCGGCTGGCTGTTTCTTCAACTGTTTCTAATTTATTTTAACAGCCCTCGTGTCACCCTGTAACCCTCGGCTTCCTCTCCATCAGAAGCAGGAAATCACACCACATCTCTCTGCAGGAATGTGAGGTGGTCACAAAAACAAGTGAATAAATCACACCATTTAATTAAAACAAATCCGTAACAGTCGGCCAACACAGAGGAGCTGCTAAATGGGAGCCGTTCAGCACTTTTAATGTCAATTCTTCACACTGGAGCCACTCCTGACAACTTAGCGCTCGCGGTTAAAGGGTTTCATGGCGGCGAGGGGGCAGAATCGGGCCGCTTCACACACACTGCGCCTCGTTTTGCTCCAGTGCCACAGTATGGTCTGCTGGGTTTCTAGTTGTGTTATGAGGTCACGGTAAAAGGTCACTGTGGGAGGGGCAACAGGCTTCCTCTAGGGTTTTATTCATACCAAGATCATACATATTAAAGCATGTTGGAAAACCAGGTCAGAGATTAGCTCATAATTTCAGATCATATTGAAACATCCAATCGATATTCAGATATTATTAGTACAGAAAATTGATGCATGATTGGGCTGAAATATCCATTTGTGAATATGTCGACTGTGTACAACTTTGACATGATTTGCATCGTCATGCTAATTTTTCACGGAGAAACATCTAAAAGATGATGTTCGACATTTTGCGAGGGCACGTGGAACATTCCTATGAAGCTCACATGAATTGTTCGGCCGCGCTGCACAGACGCCTCTGCGGCTGGAATGCGTCCTGCTGACGCTCCAATTCTGCACCCTCCTGATCAAGAGCGTTATTTTTCCCCCCAGACTTAATAACCCAGTCTACGTGGAAACCTTTTGATTATCCTCCAATCTTTACATTTCTTTGAAAGCTGGCGCACAACCTAAAGCAACATGGACTTGTTGAAATGGGAAAGCGTGGTCTGAAGGCTCTATTCTTTGTGATCGACCCCCTGTGTGTGTGTGAGGTAGCAGAGGGCCCGAGCAGAGATGAAGCATGAGGCCCTTCGGGGCTTTTGCCAGGAACCTCGGGGGTACCGACAGGTGGAGGACGGGACATTTAAGTACCATAAGGTGTGAGCTCGGCAATAACGTCTTCGAAAAGGCCCAATTAGCTTCTCCTGATGGCAAATACTGTGAAAGCAGCATGCGGGGGATGATAGCAACAACTAAAAAGTGCAACATAACAGTCAGGGTGGCCGAACACCCGTAGGAACAACACGTTCCTTCACTAGGCAGAGAGAGACGAAAGAAAGTGAACAACTCTCCCTGGTATACTTAAAACGTCGTGAAATCTTGCCAAGCGCGCAGCAGTGAATCACTCGCTCTTGTTTTTGCTCAAATTTCCTGGTTGACCAAACATCATTAGTGGGAGTATACAAGTTAAAAACAGACAGGAGTGGTTCTCTGTGTATTTGGCATCTCATAGTCTCTCTGCCCCCCCCCTCCCCGAGCGCTGAATGAGGGCCGATGCTCGGACTTTTCTGCAGCACTGAGCCGGACACACGCCTGCGTGGGAACAGCAACATCTAAATGGAGAGCAGAGACCCGGCCGCAATACATCTGCAGTTACCAAAGAATTCATGGAAATACACAACTGGGGAAAATGAAAATACATCCCGAAGGATTCACGTGTCCCAGGCCGATCATTTGATGCTGTGCTTTTGCCGAGCGGCAGAATTATTTAACTTCACGATGAAATCCTCCTGATGGTTGGGTAGACATTCCACAACATGGACCTCATGGTGGTGCGAGATCAGATTTCCAAAGTCATGTGGATCCGTCTGGGAACCATTGTGTACAATCGTGAGGAAACTTTGCTATTTCACCGGATGAGTGAAAACGCTTTGACCCGCTGGAGGCTTTAAGAGAGAAGTGTGGATAATCGGTACCAAATCTCATTGGAATCCAGCAAACAGTTGTGAACATTTAAATCTGCTGGTAGAAACTAAAGGAAAAGTCATTGTTTAATTCCTCCCAGTGATGTATTTGATATGGTTTGAATAGGTTGCTGTTTAGCTGCAGGTGGGTTTTGGTGGGCTTGACTGAGACGGAAGTCCAACTTTCACTCATGCATTTAAAAGAAGAAAAAAAAGCTACAGCCTGAACATATCGGCAAGAAAAAAACTGCAAGGATGCAGCAAGAAAAGGAAAGAATTAAAAGACTCTGAGATGCATGATTTATAACATCCGTGTTCACACAGAAACACCCACTAGAACATGTGTGCACAAATAAATAAGCGCAGGAGCTCGCCGAGAAGAAGCATGACGGGGGTCTGCTCCATGTCACAGACAGTCTGGAGTTCATAGATAACAGAGCAGAGATCCTGAGGGAAGATAAACACAAAGAACAAAGAGCCCCTTCAATGCTCCGATCAGCAGACAGTCCTTCCTTTGTCCTTCTTTCAAGTTGATGGAAATGTCCCGTGGCTCTTGGTTACCATAACCAGTTATCTGGCATCCGCAAACTGTTTCCCTTTGACAGACGCCGTCCTTTCGGTCGGACAAGCGGAATAAAACACTGAGACTCGTGTCCTCTTCTGTCCCCGACTTCAGACCCCGTGCCATCTCGTGTGCGGCATGAACGGCGAGGCATCGGTTAACAAGCAGGCCGACTAGCAGCTACACCGCATCACAGACGATGGACATGGTTGATTACATGATTAGATGCAATTACAAAAGCAAAGAACAAATTACATGTGTTCAGTTTCTTCTCTCGAAATAATACTTAATCTTCTCATGTAAACTTGGCAGCATAATTTCTTGCAGCCTCGATGATGGAATATGAAGACAAACATCTCAAATATAACATTTAGTTTAAATAAAAGGCCAGAGAACGAGCGTCACGGTGACTGACGCGGTCAGAGAATCTGTCCCCCAGGAGACACACAGCAGGCTTTATAAATAACCACAGCGTGCCCTCTGAGGGTTGGGATGATGGAGAGAGGAGACGAAGGAAGTGATAGAGAGAGAGAGCTGGAGGGAAGAAGAGTGCATCTCCCATCTGAGCAGTTATTTTCTCACAGCACAACTCTTGGCAAAATTGTTCAATTAAAATGTTTATTCTTACTGACAAGCACAGAGGAATGAGCTGTGTGAGACAAGAGACGCACACAAATACACACGGAGGAATATACCATACGTGCTCATGAAGAAAAACATTTACCACCATTCACATGTCTAGCACACAAACGCATGCTGGCAGCTTCTTAAAACGACGTCTACCCGCTCGCCCTTCATTGCGTAGAGTCGCTCTGCGTGAAGTCACAGCTGGAGGGCGCTCCGCGTTGACAGGGAGGGTAGAAATAAACAGGCAAACTGTGGGACGCGCCCGCCACTCTTTCTTGCAGTTCCTTTGCTTTTGGTGAATCTTACTAACCGGTGCATATGGCTCACAATTCATTTCATTATTGCCTCATCAAGTTGTTTTTACCTCATTTACCTTAATACCTGTAACCTAGCAACCAGCCAACAACTAGTGTACCGGTATATCAAATCTAACCCAATAAAAGACAACAATTAATTATCTTATCTAATCACTAATCATTCTCTAATCACTCATCCAAGTTACACAGATGTCCTACCAATTGAAGACACGTTAATGCGACTGTACAATGACACTAAGTGCACCTCAAAGTTAGCTTATTGCTAAAAGCCTTTGTAAAGGAGTCAAACGTGGCCCCGTACACAAACGCACACAAACACACACGTACAGACTAAATTGCTCGAGAACGGTTCTCACCTTGCACAATACCCCAGGGGTACTGTCTGGCCCGCACGGTTTTGTTGCCCACTTTGACCTCTTCCACGCTCCCGACCACAGCAAAGGGCAGATGAGCCTAGACAGAAGAAAATATGTGGGTTGAAAAGGTCAAGAGGCCACAGATGCAACCGAAAGGGGTCCAGGTCCCTCTTCCTTCAGGTTTAGACTTTTGTAAAGAGTTTCATCATGTTGATATTCTTTACACAAGTTGCATTTCCCTAGAAAAACTACAAATAACACAACAAACATGTTCAATGAAAATTCAGCATTTACTTTCATATAAAAGTCGCTTAAATGTCTGTTATCGTTCACAATCCGACCACACCAGAGGCAAGTGTAACCACGGCGACATGTGAGCAGCACCAGAGCTGTGTTTTAAGTAACATGTGGCTCAGCTGTTAAACTTTAAGTGATTAAAACACACACACACACACACACAAACACAAACAGTTTCTCTCACAGCTACTACAGCCGTGATAGGATCGACAGTGAAGCATCATGGGAAAAACAGGCCTGAGGCCCAACCTCCGGACCTGGGTGTCGAGTCGGGACCAGCTGGCAGCGTGGGCGCTGATGTAACCGGCTATCAATAGATGGGGATACGGTGTCTAGGCAAAGCAAATGAAGCCTCGCTTGTTCATGAGAGGATCTACTGTGTGTGGATCTGTGCACGTGTGGGTGTGCGTTTGGGCACACTGTAATTACATGCGTCATCTCGGTTATAAAATGGGAACTAAAGAAGTCCAAAGATAGGGGGCTCGCTTCATGGGAACGGTTAAAGCTTTTATTCAGCTTTACCGATAAGTGCATATCTTTATTTTTATATACACACGCTGTATTTTGACAGTGGAAAATGTACAAATGGACACAAAGCCAAATCTGAGAAATGGGCGACTGGTGCAATCAAACAGAACCAGTAGTCTCTGTGGTTACATTCTGTACATCTCAGCACAAGCCCGGTTGGTAATTTCACATATTTTGACGTTCGTCCCTCCGTACGCTCACAGATTTGTGGAATGCAAATCTAAACAATACAAACGAACGGAGCTTTTCAGCACGTGACACACAATGTCTTCTGTGAACGGTGAAACGGACGACAGTGTCTCGACGCGACTTACGTTCATGGAGGCGTTGATCTCACTGACGGTTTCGTCGTCCGTTGGGAACTGATATATCTGGACTCCGTTGCTCACCAGCTCACTCATAATCTTTATTTTGAATTTATGCAGCTCGCTCTTCGAGATCGTGTCCGCTTTGGCGATGATGGGAATAATATTGACCTGGGGAAAGAAAAACAGGGCTTTAACTAAACATGATGCTTTGTGTTACAAAGCATTCGGCCGCTGAGCTTGATGCGCGCGGAAGCAGACGCACGCAGATAATCAACGCAACGTCTACAGGGAATTCCAGTCCGGATCATCAGATCTCTCTCTGTCAGCGGGACAAAAGCGATGAACATCCTGAAGACCCAATTACAAAACAGACAACAGACTCCATATGAGCGCAGTCAGACACACAAACCAAACAGTGATTAGGAAAACAAACGGGGCTCCATCTCCAATCAGCAGCACATGTGCAAACATAAACACAGTTAGTCTGCATTGCCCCAAACCCCAACCTGGAGGACGAGGAGGATCCCCTCAGAGGCAGAACCAGAGCTGGTTACGAGTCACATTGCAGGCCCAATCATTGATTCACAGCAGACCGGTCGGTCCCGCGATATAAACCTTATTAACAGAACCGAGTTCACTGGTGGTAATTGTGTAAAAGTGTGATAACCGGGCAGTGAGGAATCCTAAAGCAGCTTTAACTGCTGACATGACGACAGTACAAAAACGTCCCGTTTGTCGTATGACCTCCACAAACAAACAGTAATGACTTTACAGAAGAAAAGAATATTCAGAACAAAAAGGACACCTCCTCCGACACTTATCTCTCTTCCCGCCTTCGGCCAAGCCATCCGCTCTAGGAGTGGTGGGAGGGATCGGGGCATTTCCTAATTTCCTGGGAAAACACCATTGTCTACCCTTGAAAACGAACTCCACGGACCGAGGGGACAGTTGTCTCTGGTATGCGTCCCTGGTTTTTCCTGCTGCATGGCTATCTGACAGACAGCTATTTACTTCATTTAGCTTCCAGATCAACATTCATATTTGCTCAACATTCAACAATATTATTGTTGTTGTACAAGAGAATACTTTGTTTTGGAATGCTGATTGGACAGAACTAATTATTGTAACGTTTCATCAGTCAAACACCTTGTTAATTTGTGACCTAGTCAGGCTTCTTCGTATGACATGTAGAAGCACAGCAGGTACTTCTGTGCTCAACCTGCAGCCATTTGGTGCTTACAGAAAAGTGCAAAGAATGGCACTATGTGGTCAGTAGCGGCAAATCTTGCCCGCAAAACATTACTATTTCATGCCGAATGAGGCGACCGCATAAAAGCACCCCATCAAGGCTGTAAAACAAAACGGCGGCCCCTCCACACTGCGGCTCCTGCTTTCAGAGGAAAACTCCTATTTCCCACAGCGGAGAGACGGCTGGGACTGAGCCACCGTGGCCACCCACTCATCCAAAAACTCAACCCACTGCTGCACACTCATCGGCCCAAATCACGTTGGATAAAAAGCGCCGGCCTCATTCATTGCGGTTTGTTTTATTTACACTTTCCGCGCTTCCCGGCAGTGTGAAAAGGACTAAAAAGCCAGCGCTCAACTGAAATGGTGCTGACAGGCGTACAGGGGGGGGTTCACGTGAATGGATGGGGAGATTTAACTGTGGTAAGCGGCTTCGCTTTCACTCATATTAAGCGAGAGGGTGGCAGGGCGAGCCGCTATAGGATGGCAAACACATTTTAGCTCATGTTCACAAAAGGATAATCTATTTAGCTCACGTGCAGCGAGCTGGCTGAGGTAGTTTGGATGGCATCAGGACACCGTTGGCAAGCGCTCGGCGCCAAGTTTTGATCACTCTATTGGCTGGTAACGACAGCACGGAGGCCCAGAGGTCAGTGCCGGCGCCTCGCAGCCAGAAAAAGCGCTGACTTTGGATTTTGGCCCGTTCTGTGTGACGCGTCTGATGAAAAGGAAGAATAAAGACGTCCCTCAGGTGAAACGTGGGTGTCCTAAGCAATACAATTGAAATCAAATGGGAATAACATTTAGGTCTTACTCAGTCCTTATTACTGAAGTCCTCCTAAATTTACCACGAGTCCCCCGAGGGGGACAGTTGGCTGAAGTGTCCGGTCACCGCTTTGAACGGCACCAGGAGACATTTGGCAGAGAAGAGCAGCCGTGCGTTGGCGGCGGGCCGAGGTAGGCCGGCAGGTTTTGGTCACAAGCGGACCATCTGCTTTAGTTCAGGACTCGTTATCGCCGCATCGCCGGACGCGAGCAGAGCTGAAGCTTCCACTCTGCCATTCAGCAGAGCATTCGGCTCTTCTCAGAAATATCTCCCTTACCCTTTATTACACTGTCCTCCCACAATAAAACTCCCTCTCTCCTCCCCTCCCCTTCCTTCACGCTCCAAGCGTTTGGCTGCGGTGATGAGATTTTCTTTTTTTTCCACCAGATTTCTAATTGAGGCCAAGCCAGTGATCGCGTCCCTACTGAGCCGCCCTCATCGGAAGCACGGCAACAACACACCGATCAATGATCTGTGTAGTGGTGCTCACACGAGAGCGATCAAAACCTCACAAATCAATGAGGCTCCGAGCGCGATTACAGACTGCTGGACCGCTGCAAAAACGTCATTCAAAACAGTGAGACGAGAATCAGGAGGATGTTTAGGATTTTCTCTGAATCTAAATTACATTCACAAGGATCCATTGAAGAAGGTCACTGTGCGTCGTGTCTTACCTTGCTGTCTAGTTTTTTCATAGTGACGAGGTCCAGAGACTTGAGGGAGTGTCCCGTCGGGGCGATGAAGTAAAGGCAGATGTGGATCCTGGTGTCGTGGTAGTTGAAGAGCGAGCGCTTGATCTTCAGCTCTTCTTGGAGGTAGTTCTCGAACTCGGTGTCGATGTAGTTGACAATGGGCTTGTAACTGTGGAGGCAGCCAAAGAGAAACTTTATGAAGAAGATTTATGTCTGCGGGTAAAAGCATAGATATTTGTCTTCTTACTCATGCTTTTGGGACGAGTGAGGAAGGAAACACGGACTTGTCACCGGTGACATGAACCAGGGCCGTTAGGTTTCCGGCGACGAGCCGACTCGATGCCAAGATCTCAGCTTAGAGCTGTGCAGCTTGGCCATGCGTGACATTTGTGCTCGGCTTACGGGAGTGTGATTGAAACAAATCACAGAGGGCGATAAACATCCCGTCCGCTCTCACAGCGCTCTGTATGTGTGGCCGACGGAGTCACCAGTAAATCACAGTGAGGGAATGAGCGGTATGTGGCAACGCTGTTTCGCGGCGTTCGCGCATGAGAATGTGGCGAGTGCAGCTAAACAAACGAGACCGGAAAGGAAGGGCAACAAGTCAACGCATCGCCAGAGGAAAGGAACTCTGACCTGAACCCATAAATCATTGTTTTTAGACAGTGATTTCTAATTCACATAATGGGCAATAAAAGCTGCCACTCTCAGATTGGGCATCGGATGGCCGGCTGGGTCTTAACAATTGCTCTGCAAACAGCCATCTTTCCACACTTCACAGCTCAGAGGGAGACATAAGTCCCGATCTATTTCACATCCTCAGCCGGCACCGTGTTTCCATCATCTGTCCTCTCCCGTCGCATCCCGATTCAATCGCCTCTGAGGAATGCACCGACTCTGACCTTTTGAGGCCCTCTCACTGTGCATTCACAGTCCTCTGCAGGCTGCGTCCTTCGGCATGTTGGTTCATACGGCCTACAGAAAAAGCTGCTATCAAAGGCCGTGAGAGTGCTCCGTGTTGTCTAGGTCACAGCAAGAACACTGCATTCCACAGCTGCATGCTAAAAAAAAACTTCCTGCTTGTCTTACTATCAGAGAAAACCCCAAAACCTCCACTGGTATCAGTTGGGTCCATTTCTCTCATTTGTATCTGAAAGAATCATCGTGGACTTTACTGGTATGGATTGAAAATCTGACAGGGATGTGGTTTTAGATGAATGAATGACTCGGGAAATTGCAATAAGCGCTGTTCATCAGAATATATCTAAATGTTCTTGATAGCACACTTATACGCATTGTCATATCCATTCTGCCTTGGCACTGTGGCTTTAGTGACAAGAATTTGGGAATTTCGTGTAAAGGTTTTATGTGTGTGTATATATATATATATTATAATTACACAATAATTACACTCACAACCCCTCAGATTTAATACAAGCCAATTTGTAGGAATACAAATACTCCTCCCTATGTTTACAAAGTGGTACTTTGTGTGCGTCTTCCACCACCGACTGCAATGACTCATGACTCATGATGTCGCCGGCCGCTCGTCCTCCATCATCGCTCGGCCGTCCTCACCTGTCCTCTTTGTTGATCTGATCGCCGAATCCGACGGTGTCGACGATGGTCAGCTTGAGCTGGACGTTGCTTTCCTTCAGGTCGTATGTTCGCGGCCGCAGATACACGCCGTTCTGATAGTGGCTGGCCTCTTCGTTCTCAAACATGGTGTTGAAGAGCGTGTTCATTAACGTCGACTTGCCGATGCCAGTCTCCCCTGCGGGTGGTGGGAGGTAGAGAGAGACGAGAGAGAGGGGGGTGGGGAAGAGTTAAATCATCTCAGAAGAGAAAACGACTGTGGGCTGTATTGTCGTGGTTGGACGTGCTGAGAGGACAACGCTCACACGCTGCTGCTCGCTACTCACCCACACAGAGGATGTTGAAACAAAACCCCTGCGTGACCGATTTGCTGACCAGCTGGTCAGGGAGGCTGTCGAACCCGACATGTCCGCCCAAGTTCAGGTTACGCTTCTCTTCGTTCTGAGTGGCACAGACAAAACAAACCGTTAAAACGTCTGGTCGCATGAGAGCGAGGCCCACATGGGGAAGACATTAGTCTGAGGTTGGAGGAGCTGAAGCTGGAGCGATCGCATTCCGATGCTAATGAGAGAGGCCGCGTTCCATTCTGCAGATGTGTAAGTCATCGCCTGACGTTATGAGATAGATAAGCTTCATGGTCTTTCGCCAGCGTGAGGAACTAAAGACATTTCATCACGCGGTAAAAAAAAGATGCACTTTCAGAAACCACAGAAACAAACTCATCTAGACATTCAATGTCTAGATGAGTTTGGAAAGTCGCTTAGAGTTTAACAGGTCTTTGGAATAATTACAACATAAACATGTAAAAGCTACTTCAGCACTGATGAATCCCAGCCACTACTATGTGAGTTTTCTCTTGCATTTACATTGCACACCCAACCTACAATCACTCTGCATTTAGGAGAGATCATCCCGGACCCTAAGAGCACAAAGACGGGAGGTCGGGAGCTACTGGGTCGTGAACGAGGCCACCCGAGCTTGCTGGGCCGAGCCACGAAGGACCGAATACTTGAAGGCCGATGTCAGCGAAACACGGGCTGTGAAGAGAGAGGCGCAGGACGGCTCTGCACGAGTTATGGAGCAGACCCAACGGCCCAATACAGGATGACCAAAGCATGTGTGTGTGTGTGAGAGAAAGAAGAAGAGAAACTGCGCTTATTGTGTCAGGAACACCAGTGAAGTAATCTGACATGAGCTGGCGTTGGCTGAAGCACACGGCGACTTTATTACATTTCATTGACATCCGTGTTCAATGAAAGAAAAAAGAAAGAAAATCTATACAAGCTGTAAATAGAGCAGGAACACGCCCTGAAGAGCGGAAATGAGTTCCCTCGTCTCAGAGTCAACCTTAAGATATTTGAATGTTTTTTTCTGCTGTATAAAACAAGTCGGTAAATGAGCCTGTCCTGGATTTGGAAGCTTTTACGTGTCTTTGGAACGGTTTACATCCTCGTTGTGTAAACTAACTCACGTCTGTTTAGAGTGCGACGCAAGCTTTTCACTTCGGCCGACTGCGTGCTGTAAGCACGGACAACTCGTGCCAAGGAGCTTATCGTCGGCAATAATCCAAAACCCACTGAAATATAATTAGAATAACCACACCAGCTTCTTTCTACATGTGATGTTGGTGAAACGTGAGGCCGAGCCGAGGAAACAGGTGGTTCGCGGGAGGAGTCAGCTGGCGGCGAAGGCTCCATCCAGAACATCCCGTTCACACTGGAGGGTTTCGGACCTTGAAGGAAGCTGGTTTGTTTTCGCCTCTATTGACACAGTGGAAGATAAATAAAGGCCTGCATGCTCTCTTTTCATCGCTTCGTGTGGAATCTGCTTGCAGCACACATCTGATAAGGCGTCTTGCTAAAGGGCGCCTTGACAAAAGAACTGTTGTGTCTCACACGACAGGTCTGGGGAACTTGCACTGCAGGTAACTGTGTGCATTCAAGGTACGCAGGGACGTCAGAGCAGCGATAGCCAAAGCAAAAAATAACAGGAGATTGTGGAGCCGACTTCCCGCACTGAACCGGGCCGCCGGTGGCATATGATCTTTGTGTGTGAATCACAAGGGCTGTATAAAAGATTTAAATGAAAAAAGTAATGAATAATGTATAAAAGAAATTACACCGTCAAGTTCCTTCACTTAATAAAATAAAATAAGATTTGGAGAAGCAGAGGAAGAAGAAGAAGTGGATTTTATGCTTGATCTGCAAAATGTGCAGAAACTTGCATCAACAAAGAGGAAGATGAAACACCGAGCAGCCTTAGTCGCATGTTAGTTTATGCTTTCATGCATCTGTAGCATGTGCTTATTGTCATGGGAACATGTCCACGTTTGGTCATTTTCTCGTTCACTATCAAAACCAACTCAAATACTTTTCTGTCTCACGACCCCCCCGCCCCTCCCACGGGATTACATGAACCGCAGGTCACGACGCCAGAAACAAACCCGGTTGCCCTTTGTTACTGAAACAGCAGCCATTGGGTGGAGATGTACCACCGACAGCTACCGGGGGAACCTCGCGGCCCGCTGGAGGGGCCACAGAGGGGCCCCCCAGGTGGTCTGGGACTCAGAAGGGGCACGTAGCTGTGATGGAGGCGGGCTGATCACATGGTTGTTTAGTTTTGAGGTATTCGGCAACAACATAATGTGAATTATGAATGTTTTTGCTCTAAAGTCTTTAGAACGGGTCAAGACAACTGTGCTTCAGTCTAGAATTCAAACCAACCGAAGCAACTCAAACAGCCCGCAAACGGGTGAATCAGCTATATTTATATAAGGACCGGATGGGGCTGTCTGTCACTACCACACAACATCAACCTGCCAGATAATTTCAGACATGCTAAAATCTCCTTTTGAGTTGCTCAGACTCACTTCCAATGGTTTTCTTATAATTGTATATTCAATATTTATTTCATTTGATAATTAATTTTGTCCTTTGGTCTCATCTTTGACCAGATGTTTTAACTGTTTTTAGTTGAACTATGTTATTGTCTTTTGCCTGTTTGTACACCAAACGCTAATATTGAAAAACTAAATGCAATTTCAAAATCCCCTCAAACTGAACTTGCTATCAATAATAATACTCTATGGTTTTATGTATTTTGTTAGCTTTTGTCAATGATGTCTTCAGCAAACTTTAGAATATCTACGGGCTCAAGATAGGCTAACATGTTCAGGGCTGCTGTAAAAGAATATTAAACTACTGATGTCTACTTTATGACTAAAAATGAGGAGCCGGCTTGATTCGGACGAATGAGTCTTCTCATCAGCCTCTTGTTGTTGCCTCACAACTAAGGACACTTTGGACTAAGAAAGACGCATCGGGGCTTTATTTAGATATCCGTTTGGGGGCTTCTGGGGACAGTTTGGGCCTAATTCACCTCAGCGGAGGACACCACGTGATAACCTCAATGACAAACTCTCACGCACTCAGTGCTCTTCAGAGCAGCTTCCTGTCCAAAGGCGTGTGGGTTTGTGAAAGTGCCTCACGACCTTTGAATTGTAATAATATTTGAGTGGACTTGCACTCAGCACCAGCTTCCAGATCTGAAAGAGTTCTTTTAAATTACTATTAGAAATTACCACACAACAGATTTAACGGCTCATCCGACAGCAACAAATCAGAAGTATAACGGGAGAAGTACCACACCTTGTGCTTGCTAGCGGTGATGTTGTAATGGTAAAAAATGTTGATGGGTGAGATGTAGATGACGTGTGAGCCACGTAAATAACAAGCACAGATATCAACAAAACTATTTCCGTTTACTATCCCATTTCTTTTCAGTTATGTTATTAGCCACCAGCCATGTCCTCTATGGACCAGGGGGTAGAACTTGGATCTGGTGAGCTTTGCCCCCTTTCCCCCTCTGAATTTAAAGCTTAACTACTTAAACTACTCATGCATGTTATGGAATGCTCATACTAGTTATTTGGTTTCTGTTTTTGGATGCAGCCAATCCTTTTATCAGTAAGTTCTGATACAATCGACGAGGCAATGAACGTACTGTAAATGGGTTATATTGTTCATTCTGTACACGTTCTGGATTGCTCTCCTGGCCATCTTGGCAGAGGAATCACCACTCAAAATCATCATTCGGCTTTCGCTTACATTTCGGTGAAAGCTATTACAGTGATGTATCGTCCCAACACGGGTTCCGGATATGTCTTTGCAGCCATTGTGACCTATTCTATGGATGGATATTGACTCATCGCCACAGAGGCAGCAGCCCGGGCCGGCATGATTCATCTGTGACATCCAATTTGACAGGATTGCCTACAGGCAGCTCCGTTTTGTATGTTCTGTGTACTGTCGTGAGCTGTCGTGTGCCGTGGAAAGTGCTTAAAGTGTAGAGTGAATTAAGGACATATGCAGATCATGCATTTGCATGTTAAGAACTCTCTGCACAAACGGGCAGAGCTGCACTTTTAGAAGTGCAAGTGACTCGCCCCCTTCTTCCTCACCCCTTGTCTCTGGCCTTTAAGCTATTTGTGAAGCTAATTTCAGTTTTGTGTATGCCGGCCTCCCGGGAGAGACAATCCTCGTCAGGGTCAGTAAGCGCTGTGCGTGCGCTTTATGTTGGAGGGCCCTTCCTTACATAACCACATCAAACGAAAAGCATCACTTTTTTTCTACAGGTTACAACGCAATCTGTGTGTGAAGACAATCTAAGGGTGGTTGGCTCCATTGATCGCCCTTAAAATGGCCCCGGCCTGGAATGTTCTCCTAACGCTCGGACAGCCATTGGGGGGGATTGATGTGGGCCAACATGCAACGAGCCACACGTCCCTATCAATAGCTGCATGTGATTAACACGATGCCCTTACACACACACACACACACACACACACACACACACACACACACACACACACACACACACACACACACACACAGCCTGTCAGTTTGTCCAATATGGTCCCACTTAGTTCTAAAACGTTAAGACAGGAAGTCGGACAAACTGTTTGCCTGACCGTTGTTCCACTGGCCTGTTTCACTGCAGTCTCAGCATTTCTCTGATGAATCGGTTCTGTCATTTCGTAATCCCAAAAAAAAAGACATTTTTGAAGTTAACCCCCTTTCCTAAACTACTACTACATAATTTAGGAAACGGCAAGTGTGCAATACCCAATGCAGCTTCTTTTGGGAGACGTGTGTTGCACCGGGAAGCGATAGGAGTGGCCTGGAGTGTTTTTCTTAATCTCTTTATCCCTGGAACTCAGTGAATTTGACAGTAAGCAGCACTACCACAAAAAGAGCTCCTCGAGCATCTGCCAAAAAGTTAATCACCGTCTCCAAATCCGCCTCATGTGCGTTCGCCTCCACACTACAGCATTGGTTTCTCCAAAAACCAAAAGGTGAATCCCTGACGTGCCGGAGAGCCGACCGTGATGCTTTTGTGTCATTGCCAGTTTTATTTGCCACCTGCGTTGCATCATCAAACCGAACAGGGGTCACACCCGAATGACAGCCTGGGCTTGTCACTATGAAGACAATGCAGGATGCATTCTCCCTCCCAACAACAGGAGAGGAACACAGGCGGCCTTCAGCCATGGGGGGCATAACTTGTCCAGCATATGGCTTGCAAAAAGAAAGAAAGAAAGAAAGAAACTGACATGGGGGTAAAAGTGACCAACGTGTTTAATTTGGGGGGCCTGAACAGGAAGTAGAAATGTAACCACACGTGACCGCGGCTCATCACTGTGTAGTTACTGCTGTCTACGTGTAGGAAGGGGGGGGGGGGGCTCAACCGTGTTTATAACACCGGTACCCCGCTTCAAAGTACTCGTACCTGCTAGCTAGCCGCCGTGCTTCTTGTATTCAACAACAGCGATGTGACAAAATAACGTTAGCCTTCCCGGGATGGTGTCCGGCTTTACAGCCGTTGCTAATAACGTCAACTGTAAACAGTGTAAAAAGGTGTTGTGCGCGACACCCACATAAAGAAAAATGGAGGAAAAAAAATGTAAGGTGGGCAAGTCACGACATTAGTGTCACATATCAGTTTCACCACCATCTCGGCTAAACCCACATTACAGGCTTTTCCGAACCAATGGGGGGGGGGGGGGGCTTACCTTAACGGCAGCTAACACTTTTACTAATTACAACCAGGGGATTCCCGGCTGCACTTGTCTTCGGTTTCATCGGGCGGAAAAGGCACCGAAAGAAAAAAGACCAGAAAACAACAAAGACCCCCCGGCTTTTACTCCCCGAAAACACGTCAACGTCCGTGGCAGCCCTGGGGGCGGAATGTCTGCTGTCACTGTGCTGCTGCGCGGACCAAGCGGAGGCGAAAGGGAGCAGCCCTCGTCTCTCAGCGCAAGCCTGCTAAACTACTGAGCCGAGCCGACGGAGATAACAGGAAGAGAGGAAAGCGGAGACGAGCCGGTTTAACCCGGGAGGGGGGGCTACTAGCTTGGCGAAGAGATGGTCCGCCGCTGCTTCCTCTTCGGTTTTCGCTCAGTCCCGGCGAAAATCTGTTTCTTTTTTCTTCGTTTCGAAATTCTGACTGGGAGTCTATTAAAGGCACTCGTCGGGTAATCTGAAGTATGAAACACAGGACAGCAGGCGTAGTCGGTAAACAGCTCTGAGAGTGTGTTTAATGTGCTTGTTTTGCGCATGCGCAAGAATGCGGATGTCATACCGCGGATGTCATATTTATAATTTACATTTGCGCCCTTTTTAATCAGCCTATAGCTTTAATAACGCGAATAATTTCTTATTATCATAAAAATACGGTTATATATAACTTATTTCCATATTTTGAGCGGTGTAAAGACGCCCTAAGGCAGTTCCAGGTGGCGTAACGCTCAACTTGCGTGAAAGTAGGAAGTCAACTATCTTGACGCACAGGTTGGCTCTTTGGGAGTGACAGATACGTTCCAATATGGCCTCTTCCCGGGAACTCCCATTCAATCCTGGAATGTCATGTTAAACACGCTGCATGCCAGGACAGGCGAGAGAAGCGCCGCAGAACGACACAAATATGTGAAGGGGCGTTCGAGATAACAACATTACATAATCATCGCGGGGGAAGGAGGTTGTGTCTGCGCATGTTTGTGCGCGCGCATAATTGTCGTTTTCAAAATAGGACTTAATTATTAAATTAATAATGCGGTTGCCGATTGCTGGAGTGTAATACACTTCTGATATTTTGTCTAATTCACTAATATTATCAGACCAGTTTTTCACGATTTAGTTTATTAGTTACCTAGTGATCATTTGATAAGTTACAGCCACAGCCCGTAACAATTGTACCCGCATCTAAATCCAAATGCTTACCTGTTTTGATTTCAAATGCGTATTGTTTATATTCAATTCAAGCCAATTGGCTTAATCAAAGTCTTTGCTTGTATTTTGAGAAATAAAATGCAACGCGTTTTTCGTCCCTCAGTTTAAAACTCTTTTTGAACTTTCCCTTTGCCTGTCGGAAGACACTGCGCATGTATTATTCAAAACGTGTGGACGTCCCGGAAACGACTCCTCCAGGTGAGAGGCGGGCGGGGGGGGGAAGTGGGCGGCCAGGTGAGGGCTCCTGTAAGCTCTCCCCGGGACAAAGCCAGCAGGAAGAGTTCAAAGTTCTCCCTTCAAATTGCCGATGGCTTTGACGCAAGAATCCGTCCTGTCTCTGCTGATTGCGGAGGGGGGGGGAGTGAAGAAGTCCGACCTGGTGAGCAAATTCAAAGGATCGATAGACTGCGCCGATCCCGCGGAGAAAAAACGCAACAGGGAGCTTTTCAAGACTTTGGTCAACAATGTCGCAATCGTCAAAGAAATCGACGGTGTCCAATACGTTGTCCTCAGGAAAACACAGCCGCGTGCGCCGAACGGCGCGCGGACTGCGGAGGAACCTGGAGGTGCGGAGGTCCCGGGGACAGGTGAGCACCGGCGCTCACCTACCGCGGGCGAGCGGTCCGGAAGCTGCGATGACGCGCGGACCCGGGACAGATCAGCTGTTTCTGAGCCCGAGGCGGTCAAAGAAAGTGGGCAAGATCCCGCTGAATTACTGACTCCTATAGACGTGATGTTGCAAAGGGCCAAATACCCGAGTGTTCGAGTCAAAAGGATGATGAATTTTGAGATCCAGAGGCAGGGTCCTGCCCACGGAGATAACAGTTCTAAGGGCACCGTCGCCAAGAGCAAACCGTATGCATTACCCCTGAGGATGCCGCCCTGCAGCACCACCGCGGTGGAGATCCGCAAATTAAAAGCGGACCCGCCTGGATGCCCCGAGCCGGACTCCTCCAGGAGCAAGAGATGCCCCCCTCCGGTGGAGGCCAGCGCCAGCTCGCCCCAGATGAGGAGGGCAGTGAAGGTCACCAAGGAGTCGGAGGAGCCCAAAGAGACCAGTGCCCCCTCCTTGTATCCCATGGAGCAATCGGAGCACCAGTGGCTGGTCAAGTGCGCCGCGGGTCACTGGAGGCACGTTTTGGGCCTGCTGTTGAAAGACCACCGGCTGGCAGAGAAGAGGGACTTCATGTCGGGGTTCACCGCTCTGCACTGGGCGGCCAAATGTGGAAACAGGGAGATGCTCGTGAAGATCGTCGACCTATCCAGGCAAGGGGGGGGCAACGTCGACGTCAACGTGAAAACCCACGGCGGGTACACTCCCCTGCACATCGCGGCCCTGCACGGCCAAGAGCACATCATGGCCATCCTGGTGGGGGAGTTGGGGGCCAATCCGGGCGTCAGGGACAACTGCGGGAAGAGGGCCCACCACTACCTGCGCGAAAGCACCTCGGAGACCTTGAGTGAGATGCTGGGCAAACCCAAAGCCCCGGAGGCTGAGGACCGGGCCCAGCACGACAAGGAAGAGCCGGACCTCTTCACGGAACTCCCCAAGGGCCTGAATTCAATAGCCCGCTTGTTCCAGCCCCACACGACGGGCATCAAGAAGAGGCAGAAGCAGTGGCCCGGATTTCTCTCCGCGAGCGACGAAGCCGGCGAGGACCGAGAAGACGGCAGCTGCAGACGGAGAATCGTGTCGGAGGCTTTCATGTGAACTGCAGAGGAGGACAGAGCGTCGACCGCCATGAGGCCGGCACACACCTCTGATCTTCGAACCACGACGAGAACTCAGTGACTTTTTTCTTGTTTTATGCTTTCCTGGTGTTATCTGACTTTTGTCGGATGACGTAACATTCTCATCGGTTCTGGGTGGGAGATGTCACCTGGATGAGTGGATGAGTTGCTGGAGTTTGCAGGTGTAGGACAGATCATGACTCAGAATATAATGGCGGAGTTGTGCGAGTCGTGTTGTTGCTCACCGTCTGCGGTGTCTCAAAGGCCTCATCTTCAGCCTGCTTTTCTGAAAGGAACAATATACAACAGACATTTTGTTTCCGTGTGATTCCTGTTTTTCTAAATTAAGAAACGCATAACTTAATATATTAATGTGTGTTCATCTGTTTTGATCAAAGTTAATCAGTAAAAACGGGTCGTCAATCTGTGAGAAGCGAAAAAATTATCATTATCGAGCGAATAAAGGGGCAAAGAGGCTGAACATCTGAAAAATAAGGTGATTTGCAGACTTATGGCTGATTCGAACCCTCTAATGAATCAATAAATACCAATCTGGGCCTGTGAGGAGGATGTTCGAGGACTTTGGTCCAAGCCAACATCCCAATGAGATTCCCGGGAAGAGGGCGATAATCTGCGTCTTTCTCCGGATTGGCACTCGTTCTCCTCAAAAAGACGCAGGGTGTGTCATCCACAGGTGCTCCACAATTCCTTTCGGGCTTGTCGAGACAGATGGGAATCGTTCAGCTGACTCTAAAGCAGTGGTTCTCAACTGGTCTGGCTCCGGGACCCACCATCAATGACAAATCGAGGAACATTCTCTACTTCTCAAATGTATTTAATGAAAATATGGTGCAGTTTGAACCTGAGATAGTGTGGAGACCGAATACATATGCCAACACAAAAACAAGTTTAATGAAAAAACAAAACAGCCAGCTCTTAATATTTATTTTTCCAGGCAAAAGCCCATTAAAAACGGGTCCCACCAGTTGAGAATCACTGCTCTAAAGGACACGTGTGTGCGCGTGATGTGATGCCGCCTCATGTCCTGCATGTCTCGCTCCCGGGAGTCACGTGACTCTGACTGCTCTTCTTATCCCTCTGTTTTCTTCTCGTGTCACGTGACGTCACTTCCCCAGCAGCTTACTTTGTGTTTATGTTAAGACGATTTTTCATTGAAAAACCCCAGGGGGGGTTTTATTAGGCAAATGTTCTTTCCTGCTGCTGCTGCTGCTGTGAGGAGAAAAGGGCAGGAACGAGACACAGCGCGGTGCACAGATGTACTCACATCTTTATTTAGAGGAGGTTATTACAGAAAACTGTGGGTCTAAGGTGGTTGAAATGAGAATACGGTGAATAAGTGAATATGAGAATAAGTGTGAGGGGGGGGACTTGTGTTCTTAGTAAAGATGCTTGGAAATTGGTCCATTTGCTGCCTTGTTGGTCTAATCTTTAAAATGCAATCTAATGAACTCCATATAATGTTGTGTTGTTTCGCATTTCTCAGATAAACATGGTGGATTTCAAAGTAAAATATAAATTTGAGAAAGAGAACTTCTTCGGTTTTGATCCAGTATGGCATAATTGTAAAAGACTTTATTACTTTCATTTGTGGAGGAATGAGAGCTGCCATTAACATCAATAGGTAAATAAATAACTGAAACAATAAGGAAAGCAAATATCCAACTTATTACTACTTATTACTGTAATTATTTAAAGGCATCGTATGCAGTGGAGCTGGAACCAGGTGTAGTACATAAATAAGATGACAAACTGTTGCCGTAAACAGTAGTCCAAGGATCTATGACTGAATCTGATCCACGCGTTGCACACAACCCAGTTTGAATGTGTCATCGCTGCACCCACAAAGATGAACAATGCAGCGCCAACCAGGCCGATACCGCCTGGCGAAGGAATAAAATGGCGTGTGTGTGTGTGTGTGTGTGTGCGGAATGCTCTTTCATTGTGAACCATTAATCCCATGTGTGTGTAAGGTGGTTTCAAACGTCTCTCAGGTCAGAAACAATCTGCTGTGGTTTGGCATGAAAACAATTAAAGGCTTCGATTAGTCATAACCGCGCCGTGTGATGGCCGCCCGGAGGCGAGAGGAGGAGCCTGAAGGCGTGCTCTCATTCCTGCGGGCGCAGGGTTCAAAGGGCAAGTTCAAAACACAATCACACTCTGTGGACGGTTGTAGACGTCGCTTTTTACCCAAACTGGTTTTTATACGTTTCGACCACCATTTTCCCGTGTGGCCGCCCCCCTGTGGAGTAAGTGATGATGAGCAGGAAGCTGCTAGTTACTCGGCTTCGTGCCGCCGTGCTTCTTTTGTGATGACGCAGGACTTAATTACCATGCAATTAGTGCAACAGAGACTTTCCTTGTTGAGAATTTCAGGAGTTCTATGTGCCTGCTGCGTGCGGTGGCAATCTGATTGAAAGTTGTTTTTGTTTATTTTGCGAAGTACACTTAGTGCCGTCATTGTCTTCCTCTGGGTTTCATCTTTCCATGAGACAAGTTTGCCTTTCAAAGCTGCTTTCTGCCGGAAATCTTGGTGGACAATAAACCTGCTTTGGAAAATGATCATGTTTGGGGTTCAAATAAACCCTTTCGGGCCTGAAGGCCAACTTTTCCCATCAGCGTTTCATCGGCCTCTTGCCAACTAAGCATGATGTTTACTGATAAACACACAGCATTCATGAAAGAGGAGAGGAGGAAGAACATGCTGAATAAATCCCCTTAAAACACATCATTTAGTCTTTGTTTTTCATAGATAATTTTCCTCGCGCAGCGCCAGGAGCCAATTAGCTTAGCAAATTAAACACTTTATATCTTGTTTGTTTAATCTTTTGGAAAATCATTTGTGAATGTTATGACCCAAACCTTTTCCTAGCTGGGAGCAGTGACTTCCTGGAGTCTTGTGGTTACCATGACGACAACCGAGTCCTGCTGCTGCTGTACTGCAACTTGTTCAGTTATTAAAAAGAACCACACAAACAAGATGTGTCATGTGGATTAGACAACTTTAGAGGTACTGGACAGAGGCCGGCTAGTTGTTTATGGTATTTATGCTAAACTAAGCGGCCTCATTTTGTGATGAAACATGTCAGTATTTGATACGGTGCAATGACATGAAATAAAAGAAATCCCACTTCCAAAAAAGTAGATTAAGATCCTGGTTATAATTGTTTAGTGAGCTGCACCAGACTCTCGGCAGCAGTATGTGGATTCGCCTGCAGAGGGCAGAGACGAGCCTCAATTACGAAGACAAAATAAGGCTTTTAAAACGGGGCCGCTTTGTGAGGAGTAATGTGACAGACGTACTTAATGTGACCTCTTCCCACGCCTTCAGTATTTATATAGGAGCACAAAGCATAAATCACTCTTTGCATAAATATTGACCTCAACTTGTAGCACGGCGAGGTCACTGTGGTCAAATAAGTGAAATGTGGAACACCGGCCAGAGCGGGAGAGCTTCATTTATTCACAATTTTACAAACATCATGGAATTTAAAACTCCAAACAGGCACAAAAGAAAAGAAAAAAAAATCAAACTCAAACTCTCAACGGAAAACACGCGCGTGGGAAATGGAGCAGAAAATGTGGATTTAGAAATCTGCTGTCCTCCCACTGGCTCAGACTCCTTGAATTATGTCTTTCTCTCTTGGCTTCGAGACACATCCTGTTCCTTATCAATGTCACACGTCTCCCGCATGCGAAACAGGCCAAACTATTTAATCCTTCTTCTTCTTCAAAGAAAAAACAAAAAAAACAGGCCCGTTTCTCCTGCCACCCTCAACACAACACTGCTTTGATTGATTGACAGGAGTGAAGTGCTGCTCCTCTGTGGGAGCGAGATGCTGCATGCTTCAGGGACTCCAGCAGGCTGCGAGGACCAACGCGACTCTTTCTAACCCGTCAGCACAAAGGCCAAAACACACACGCATTTGTTTAGCAAACGGAAACGGACAGGGCCGTAAATAGCCAGGGAATACGTTGCAGGGCGGGTGGGGTTCGGGTGGAGCAGATAGGAGGAACTGAAAATCTCTTAACGTAAAAGGGTTTACAATTTGTATTTTTTGTTAGTGAGGAATGCTTATTTTTAACGGTTAGAGGTTCCTCGCGATGCTCTCGGCGCTTTGTGGTCATTATAACATAAATACCACTCACAAACACACACACACACAAACACACATTTTTTTCTCAGCCAAGAGGGGACGGTAACATTTTGATCACTTTATGACTTTGAGGAGTTCTTCCTTCAATAACTTTGTCTCTACACAAATTAAGACATTCATTATTTTGAGCGCACACACACACACACACACAAATACACACATTCTGCACATTAACTGGCAACAGCTCACATCACCGACTCCTCTGGCTGAAGATTGAGTACAAAGAAATGAATCCATCTAGAGGGGAAGTGATTTGATTCAGGAGTCTTCTTTCAAAGTGTGAATTTAAATGAACTTAAAAAGGTTGCGTATGTCTAAACGGGGCTGAACGGTGGAGGTAGAGGATAGCGAATTAGTTTAAGACACCTGAAGTGAAGGTTGTGGGCTTTCCTCTTACGTTAAAAAAGTGTTTCAAGTATCACGGGTCACGTGGGCGCCGAAGGGGCATCGGGAGGGAATACTGAGTGATAGAATTGTTGCTTACTTATAATCCTCTTTAAAAGCGGTTTAGCGCCTCCTCACAAGGAGGCGTTCCAGCATGAAATCATTAAGACTTAATAACATTAAGTATGAAATGAGCTGGAAAGTTATTTCGACACAGTCCTGTTTAAAAAGCAAAAGATTAGTTTAACATTGCTATTCAAAATGAATGACCAAACTTTAGAAGGGATGAAGTGAGGCTTTCATTTTTAAATGACTTGACTCTGATTTGAAGAAATGTGCATTCACGTATTGTTACAAAGTGCTTTTTTTTTCCATTCACCCTTTTTGGTTTATAGTGCCTTCATTTGAAAAACATTTAAAAACAAAAACATTCGCAAAAGAAAAAAGATGAAACCGTCTACATCTATTGTACATTTCACCGACTCGACGCCCCCTCTCGGCCCGCGCTCTTCCACTGGAGCCTTCTCGCAGGTCAAAAATACATTCTTAAAGCTTATAACAGGTTTTCCACGTGCAAATACGTTTCGCACTAACATCTTACTGAAGAAGCACGAGGACAGTCGCTGGACAGGGGACGCAAACCGTCCACGCAGCTGCAACAAGGCACACAAAAGGGACAACGGCGGTCTCAACAATCCTCTGCTCAGAGTCAAACGTCGGGGCGCAAGGCGACAACAAGGCGGGGGGGTGGCAGGGCCTTAGTCTGAACGGGCTTCGTCGCTCATCTCTCGCGTGGTCTGTGCAGTACGAGAGGAGCAGCGGGTTCAACCGGGAAGCAGAAATGGATACCAGAGTGCTCTTCAGACAGCAGCCGGACTACTTTGAAGTGCAGCCCGGGAACTCCCCCCACGCGTCGTTTTCCAACGAGAGAAAGGGAAGGACGAGCCTCCTCCCTCTACCGACTGGGGCTGTTGGAAAGGGCCTCCAGCTGCTCCTCTCCCAGCCGCTGCTTCTCCTCCAGGTCCTTCTGCCGGATGAGCAGCGAGGCCTTGGTCTGGACGAAGCGCCGGTAGTCCTGCAGCTGCTCGGCGGACAGCTGGCGCGCCAGGAAGCTGGAGACCAGGTTCTCCCTGCGGTCCAGGTTATCCTTCAGGTCTTTGGCGTCCTCCCTCTGCTTGCACAGCAGACGGTGGCGGTTGTCCAGAGATTGCTAGGTGCGGGGAGGGGGCAGAGAGTAAAGGCCACGGGTTAGACCCCATGCAGTCAACGTGTCACATCCACATTAGGCAGAGGACTAAGCCCACGATCAAATGCAGAAGTAAACATCCTGCAGAGAGAAAAGTCAAACATTTGTATAGCATATTTTATTGCTTTAAAATCAATAGGTAACATCTCTTTTGATGTCATAAGAAAGCCGGCAAAAATGGCAAGATGCTATTTCCAAACAGCCAGGGGGCAGTTTTACCATATGTCAACAGAGGGCAGGGTGGATAGAAATGTCATCGAAACCGGGCCCCAGTTTCGGTGAGTCAGTGTAAATAGTAGTGTTGCTGATAGCAGCGGGAAAACAAATGAGCCTCCAACAGCTTCTCAGTATGCAGCACCTTCAGCCGGGCTTTCACAGATGGACAGAGTGACAAAGCGCCCTTTCAGGGATTAATCTGGAAATCAAATGCATCCATGCAAACACGAATTGATGCTGTAAATAGCGTGACGCATGAAGAAACGGAGGGAAGAGGGATATTCAGAGGCGGAACAAAGCGAGGCACAGAGCCCGAGTCGGATCCCGTGACACAACTCTCCATGTTTGAATTAAAGAGCCCGATGACTGACAGCAAACATATTTTAATGAATGTCAGCGCGATGGAATTCAAGGATAATAATTTAATTTCCCGGTGTGTCAACTCTGTCAAAAAAAAAAAAAAAAAACATAGTCCTGTCACACTACTTCTATATAATAATCTTTGGTTTAAACACAGATAAGAAAAGGAAAATGGTAATTAAACACAGATAACATTTTTGGAATTCCACGCAGGGAGTAAAGCGTGACCCTTTTAAGTCGCCCTTAAACTCTTTCCAAGTGGCCTTTGTTTGCTGTTCTAAAGCAAACAGAGCGGCAGCACAGCTGAGGGGCCTACGGGAGCAGCCGCGCACTTCCAACACGCACGGCCATCTTCTTTCTCGCCAGAAGCTCGTCAGCGTGTTGCAGTAAATAACGGCAACAATTTAACCACATATTTATTATCTGATTTGGTTGACCTTTAACCCCCAACATGGATGGATTCGTGCACAGTATAAACAACTCTCCACTGAGAGGCAGATGCAGAAACAAGCTGCTTTGATACGCGCGGATGTTGGATTTATTTAACTTTAGCGACCTGTGTATCATAGCTGTACGAAAATAAATAAGAGGAATCTTGACAGGGACCCACAAAACCCTGATCTGTGGGAATCCAGCGAAAGAGGACGGAAGATTTGGGTTGCTCACCTTCTCCTCGGCGTCCGTGTGTTGGTCCACCGTGCTCAGGGCGTTCTGCACCCTGGCCAGCCGAGCAGAGAGGCACAGCAGCAGGTTGACCACCCTCTCCAGGTCTCCTATGAACAGGCTGTACCTCTCGAGCTCCACCGGCACACAGCGGTCCCGGACCAGCGCCTCCAGGGCGTCCCCGTGGGCCAGGTTCTCCTGGACGTCCGCCTGCAGGGCGCTGCGCGTCTCCTCCAGCGAACGCAGGCGCTCGTTGATGGACGCCACTAAGAGAAGCTGGTAAACGTGAAGGGAGGTGGTGTGAAACAGGGAAATTAAGTAAATCGACTTAGTCATCATTTCATATTTACAGTAGAATAAAGGCACACTATATCAAGAATGACTGTGGGAGGCGGGCAGGGAGGGGGTGAGGGGGGCTATCTAAGCCAAACATTAGCCAAGCGGGAGATACTGATAAGAGGCAGACGGTACATCATGTGATAAGAAACACGCAACTATCTTGAGTCCACCTATACCAACCGCGTGGCATAAATATGACATCACTGGGGTTTGTGTTTTATGGGTCCTTTTCTCCTGTCTGCTTTCCTTTTATACAGATTAGTGAAGACATTTTGTCTGCACCTGAGCTTCGCTCGGTCATGTCGAAGCCAATTTATTATGGTTCATATTTGGTTTGAAATGAATAGAATTCCCACATTACTTTTGCTTTGGACAAAGACCGCCCCCCTCCCCCCAAACAAATATTCACCTTTTTCTCAGCGACGTCGGCTTTGCTCGGCAGGTCTGTGCGCTGCGGCTTCGGGCTGTCAGGAGGACGAGGCGAAGGTTCGGCCCCGTCGGCCATTTCGGCGCTGGAAGGAGAAGCACGAGTTTAGGTCGAGTCAGCGCTTGTGCACCCAGTTAATGTGCCACTTATACGGTCTTCACAGGACGCACACTGCGCTCCTGATTATGTATTACAAAACGCAGCGGCACATTCTCTTCGCGTCTTCTCTGTGCTTACACAAGCGGAAAGGTGATGGCCAGGTGAGTTTGTGCTTGTCATGCAACAAAAGGTCATCGGAAAAATAGCATCAAGTTTCATAGAGAAACACAGAGGCAGGAAGCCGAATTAACTAAAACACTATTCCAATTCCAAACTAGTTGTATGTGGAATATTATCTCAATCTTCACAGCTGTGTATATAGAGATATAGATATAGAGTGCAAGTCTTTACACTTACAGTCACCTGAAAAGACAGGAAGCCATGAATCTGGGGAAATGTATAAATGCTGGGCCGATAATCTTTCTACGCTAAGGAAAGATTGCTCAGTCTTTTCTGCCTTTGTTTAAACGTTGTGGTCCAGGACATCGTGGTTTACCTTTCCGCAGCTCCTTTCTGCTCTTGTTTCTTCTTGTAGTGCTCCTCCATCAGCAGCGTGTCCTCTGACAGCAGCTGCTCCATCAGCATCAGTGCCGTCTTACGATTGGCCAGTGGGTACAGAACTCTGGCCAGCGATTGGTCGGCCCGCACCACCGCCTCCACCAGCTCCTCCCACCGAGTCCTCTCGGGGCTCCGCGTCTCTCCCCCCGGTGTTCCCCTCTCCTCCACCTCCCGGGTGTTTCCCGACTTCTCATCTTCCGTTTCTGGACTCTCCTCCGCCTCCGCCTCCACCCGCCGAGTGACGTCCGCGTCGGAGACGGAGGTCCGGGGGGACACAGAGGGTCCACTTGTCTGCGCTGGAGGGGCCGGGCTGCTGGACTCGTCGTCGAAAACGTCAGTCAGCGGAGAGGGGCAGGCTTCCTCCCTGGTCCCTTCCTCCGGAGGGAGGATCCAGAGCGACGGATCGGTGGTGACCCCGCAGCTCAAAGACACTTCCTGGTCCGAATCGGGGGCCTCGCTGCTCGGCTCGTCCACCGACTGCTCTCGCTCCGTTTCGGACGGCGAAGTCCCGACTCTGCCGGAGGTTACGCAAATTAAGGTTAACAGCCACACCCGCCCAAATTACGAATATGCAGAAACAGAAAAAACAACAACAGCAGCAGCAGCGCGCCTTGAGTGTGTTTTAGTTATCCAAATGGTGCTGTAGTCAAATGATGGCAACAAGTTGTGAAAAAGAGTGGTGTGTTCAAATAACCAAATTATTTCACTGGCGCATTGACATTGCGTCTGATCTTACCCGAAGCTGAGCCCGTTTTCACAAGGAAGCTTTGTCTCGGTGGGGCCGGGCGGGCTGGATTTGATCTCCCTCTCACTGCTTTCTAGACAGTTGGGGGAAGGTGGGTCGGCCGAAGTCTCACTGGGCGGTCTGCTGGACCTGAAGTCATCTGTGACCGGGCCGTGAGAACCTGGAGATCCGGAAGGGACCCTGGCACGGGTCGAGGGACCGGGGGCCGGGGAGGTGGATCTACTTGAATTATTTGGGGCTTCCTCGCCCGGTTCGGAGTTCTCATTTGACAGAGACATCTTCCGGGTTTGGCTCAGTGTCTGCGCTTGAGTGCTGTTCTGACCAACAAACTCCGGTTCTTTGTCCGCTTGCTCCGTTACATTTGGTCTCCTCCTCCCTTGGTCCCGCCCAGCGGCTTCTCTGACTCCGGCAAAGAGCGAAAGGCCCCTCATGTCCCGATCCGGTCCCACCGGTCGAGTGAAATCCCTCAGAAGTTGATCCAGCTGCTCAGAACTTTTACTCAGTGCCGAGGGTCCTGTCAACTTTGACGACCCGAGCTCTTCCATGGACTTTCCCCTCTGTGAGACCACGCGGACCCGCTGCTGGAGGTCAGGGGCCGGCTTTACAAAGGAGTCTTCGGCGGCGTCCGTCTGGGGACTTAAATGGGAAACAAAAACCATCAATCGATATAAATGATAGAAATTTGAATGAAATCCAAAAATGCTCAAAGCAACACTTTTAACATTTTCATGGGCAACTTATTGCTTATTATTATTATTAAAAAGTCAAAAAATATTATACAAGCCAGGTAAACTTTTAAACTTCTAAAACCAGCAATAACAATTTGATATTTCTATAATTCACAACGTAGTTCTGAGAAATAGGCCTTGAAAATGTCTCCTGGCTTCTTGAAGAGCCTCTGCATTCCTCTTTTAAAGAAATGCTGGTTTGCTGGAGCAGGTGGGAGTTGACATTTCCGTGCACCAATGAATCAAGCAGAGGTTTTATAGTCTGCAACCACGAACACTGACTTTGGCTCTGGCTCTCCAAACCTAAAACCTATCCAAAATAGTGCAGTGCTGGTAAATACCTCGGGGTTTCCATAGTGTCAACTGGAAATGGATCCTCCTCATAGTCGATAGCCTACAGACCCAGAAGAAAATCCCAAATGCAACACATGAATTACACTTGACATATAGCAAAGTATGTCTTGTCTTCTTTCACAGATATTCTTCTGACTGGCTTTTGCAATGATTATTTCATTTCATATATTTGTGCTGCAGAATGGTGACTTTAAAGTGTCTTTTAATCGTCTGAATCTGAACGGACTTACCTGAAATGCTTGTGGTGTGGATGTGGATCTTCTCCTGAAGAAACTAGGGGGTTCAGGCTGGTCCAAGAGACTCTCCACTGAGGCGGACTTCCCCTGAGACGGACCTTGGCTCTCCCTCCGACTCGACTGGCCTGAGAAGAACTGGGCGTACCTGTTTTTGTTGGAATTTAAAAAAAACAATTTCAATTGATTTCATCCATAAAGCAAAAACCACCACAGGTTTTCCTGCTCTCTGGCTCAGCTTCTCTCTTCGTACCTGATGGAGCTGGCGGAGGAGTCGAGGATGCGGCCCGCAGAATGGGGTCTGTGGAGCTTCTTCTTGTCGTTGTTGCCTTCAGGATTTCCCGATGGAGGTCTGGGAACCCAATCGAAGGGCTTCTCCCCCAGAGAATGCCTGTGTCTGGATGGAGATGGGGTCGGGGGCACTGGTTGCTGTGGCTCGGCTACTTTCTGGCCCGTCTTGCGCTCCATGTACTCCACCAGGGCCTTCTGCTGCAGATGCTTTAAGTTTGTCTTTGAAGCGCTGGAGGCTGAAAGGGCCCTACCTCTCTTCTCAAACATCTTCCTCCGGGCTGCGACCAGCCCCTGCTCTCCTTCCTGCCAACGTTCCTCTCCCTCGCTTTCGTTGCCAAAGGAGAGGCACGCCGAGTGGACGGGGCCCCCGCCGAGCTGGTTGAGCTTCTCCGGTTCGGAGAAGCACATCTTCTTCTGGTCCTGGGTCAGTCGCCTCCTCCCGCCGATGCGTGCCACCTGGGGCTGCGCCACGTTCGCCGGTCTCCCGTTGTCCTTTTCGGTCCCTTTGTCCCCCTCCTCCCGACTCTCCCGCACTCCTTCTTTTACGGTGACCCTATCGGGCTCCTCGGAGGTCACAGAGGGAGTGAGAGTATCTGTGGAAGTCTCGGAGTCCTGTGACGGGGAGAAGGTGTGAATCACTGTGGGCCTCAGCTCGGGTTTCGGCCTGATTCGGTGTGGCCATGACAGCTGCAGGTCCCTCCTTTTAAACGACGTCTCCCTCAGGACCTTTGTCTGCGCGTCCTTCAGCTTCTCTTTGTAGTACTTTTTAAACGAGTCGTCCAGAGTGCCGCAGGCGACCGGGACGCCTTCCCCTCGGTCTTTGCTGCTTGCGTCACCATTCGGAGCGCTCTCCGCGCCTTCAACAGCCACGTCTTCCCGCCCCGCTCTGTTTGCGATAGCTTCATATCCTTTCGTACAAGAATCAACATTCTTTTTGGGCTGCACCGCTGCCCTGCTGGCTCCAGTGAGGTGGTACAAGAGCGGGGTGGTTTCTTTGTTTATCCTTTCGCTGGCTACATCCATCAAGGGCTGCCGTTTCCCTCTCTTTGCCTGCTCCTCTCTCTTGTGGTAGTTGGGCTGTTCGGGGCTTATCGGCGGGGTGCCCTCCATCGTCTGTTTGGTTGAATGCGGTGGACAGTCTCCGTCAGGTCCGCAGTAGAATATTGGGTTATTGGCGGTGTGGCGCCCGATATCTCGACTCTGAGTCATGTTGAGGTCTTCCAAGGCGTTGACGCTGCGAGAGGACCCGGTCGAGATGTAGGACAGTCGATGATTTTCCTGATCCTGGCTTCTGGATGAGAGCGCCTTGCTCCGGGAGGTGAAAGTTTGACTCTCTTGTGGAATTGAGCCGCTGGAAGAGCGAGAGCTCTGCTGGAGGGGTCTAAACAAATCGTCCATTGTGCTGTGGCATCGCGCTCTCTCGCTCAGCCGGTGTGTCTCCGGCCCGGTGGAGCACACGGATGCAGAGTGCGTCCTCGCTCCAGGTTCAGCCTTACACACTCCCGTGACAAAGTAGAACTGACCTTTGTGCTGGATGCTACTGTTCATTAAACTCTCACCGGTGTTCCACGGGCCGGCATCTCGGGGCGACTCTGGACCTGGTCGATCCTGTGCCGAGTGCGCCCTTTTGCGCTGACTCTCAAAATGGCCACTGCTGCCACCGGACTTGCCGAGGTCGTCTCCGTCACACCCCCCGGCGCTCGAGGGCTGTCTGACTTTCGGGCGCTCGGACTGGCTCGTGCCCCGGGGAGGCGATCGGCCCGGGAGGTTTGCCACATTCTGCTGCTCGGAGGCGGCTTTGCTGTCTGTGATAAAAATGTACTCCGGGTTCAACGGCGGCCTGGTCTGATCGTGAGCCTGCAGGTGGGTCCGGTAGCTCGACCGCTGCTGGGCCTGCTGCTGTTGCTGCGGAGGGCCCCTCCAAACGGAGTACACCGGGTCCGAATTTAAGCTGGATTTAACCGTGTCTGGGTTAACTGCCTCAGTGTTCAGACCACGGTGCTGTGCATGGAGGCGGTTGGCGAGTTTCGGCGGTTTTTGAGGCTGCGGCTGCTGGGGTTGAAACTCAGAACCTTGATGGTGGACCCTGCTGTTTTCCAAGTTTTTTGTGGCTGTAAAACTATCCAGGCGAACTGGGACTGGAGGAGGAAAGACAGGTGGGTAGGCACCGTGGGACGAAGCCCCCGAAGGCCTCTCTTTTTTAGAGAGAGCTTTGTTGTTGGTGTAGAGACCGTCATAGCCGTTTTGGTTGCGGAGGTTCACGCTTGCGCTGGTATTGTTGCGATACTGCTGTGAGATGGCTTCCACAGAGCGATAGAGCTGGTCCATGGTCTTTGAGTCGGACTGCAGAGCCTGGGTCGGATGGTATATAGATTTCACGTACTTAAGATCAGCATAGTGGCTGAAGGAGCTGGACTGGAGGTCGTCCGGGAGAAAAGGCGACGGGTAGTCCGGGGCGGTGGACCCGCCGGAGAAAGAGCTGTACGCCGAGTCTCCTTTGCCGTGCTGGTGTTGGTGGGCGAGTTGGTCGGCAATGCTGCTGTTGGACTTGGCTGGGGAGAGCCGGCTGACAGGCAGGCTCAGAGGATGCAGGTCCACGTTGCTCATTCTCTCAAAGTGTAAGTTGTAGGAATCCATGGAGGACTGGGGCGGATAGCAGGAAGGGAAGGCCGGGGTTCGTAAGTATGACGTACGTGTTTCTACGTTGATGCATGTGTCTTCTGGGTGAAACCGGGGAAATTACCACCAACCCATTTGCATCAGGTTGTCCATCACGCTTGTCACTTTTTAACTCATTTTCCTGCCTCCGTTTGGTGTGTTCAAAGTCTCTTGAAACGGTCTCCTTAGAAGCTCCTGGGAGAGGAAACACAAACACAGAACAAATTGGTTGTCAACATCAAGTCTTGACTCTGGCTTCACACGCCTGTCGTGGAAAATGACTGCTCAGATGTGTAAAGGTTGAACAAAATGTGTGTTCAAATAGCAATAGAAAAAAGAAATAAAAATAAACAGGAGTGACTGAGCAATACTCAACGCATCATGTGGCTTTGTGCAGCAACAAAGCATTGCGTGGCAGTTTTGACTGCTTTGCAACGGCATGCCAATTTTACACAAACACTATATGTTTGTATTAGATTGTAAGCTTGGCATGTCGGGTAGAGCTACCCTAGCAAAGAAGAAATGTATTTATTCCTTCTGCTAATATTCTACCATCTACCCTGCAGACAAAAAACAATATTTTCAGGCGCTTTCTGCGTAAATACTATGAAGATCCCAGAAAACAGTTAGTCACCAGAAGAAAATCTCTGCCTGGCATTTCTAGGTCAAATTCCTCTCGAGAAAGATTATGCTCCACGAATTGCAAAGACAAGTTATAAACTATGCCTTTAGATATAAATGGCAAATGTGTACTTTTATTGAGCTAATTGTGACTGCTGTATTTTACTTTGGGTTTTAAACTTTTATGCAATAAAGTATATTACGATATAATTGTTACTCTATTCAATGGGATGTTTTTCACTCAATACTTATTTTGAATTTACTTAAGAGCCTTATCATTGCTTTGCACATTTTGTAGCACTATTGTTACCACAACATAATGTTAAACAGTTCAAAGATGAAAATGTGAAAATAATTATTAATCGCTCACTATCAATTAATTGTTAGGTAAAAAAATGGCAGTAATGTAAAAATAATAGTGTGCGAGAACAGTTGCAGCACACGCTTGGAAAGTGTCAGGAATTGCATGTGGAGCTCCAGAAATCTGGTAGGATTAATCATGTGATGGATGTGTACGGCTTTGTTATACAGGACTGAGACCTGCAAAAACTTCTTTGCCTTTCACCTGTATTGTGTTTTACCCATTTCTCGACAAATAATCACGCTCAAAAGCAACAACTGGGGCGCGATTAAACCACTTTAAATCACAGCCATACCAGCACTGTAACTGCGACCCTGAGGAAACATTAACTGGGTATTTATCCGTGCAACAAGCCGAAGTGTTTGGCAGATTGCTGTAAAGCGATATCAACTGATAACATACTTGTGTTTGGGCCTGCTGCACTCTGGATCTACAGGCCATTTGTTTTGACTGGGGTTTACCTTTTAATGGCCAATGACGAATTCACTTTATCCTTGACTTCAGTCGCTGGTGGGTTCCATCGAACTCATCCAGGAGTTGTTTTTCTCCTCCAGTTTCGGTAAATACCGTAAAAGGAGGTAATGATGGTTTAATGCACGGACTGTAATGACAGAGTGGGTATAATCTTCTCTCTCCCATGACATGCATGCCTTTCCGTGACCCGGTCATCTAGCTGAAGCTACATACCGGTCATGCATACACAAACCAGCTAATCAACTCCGGCTTTGCACTCAGACCAGAGTCGCACCTCAGCATCAATCCAACTGCAACTCAACGTTATTCTAGGCAACAAACATAAAAATCCTGACGCAAATGAGGACTCACTCAACTTTGACTGACAACTCAAAACTCCTTTCCAAATCAGTCCTAACGAGCAGCTTTCTCCCAGTATCGTCATGTCCGGTTGCAGAGCCCGAAACACGCGAGAAACACCCGAATCGCAGATGAGCCTAGGTGGTCGTTTTGCATATGCACAAAAAACAAAATTCAACAAAATTCAAAGAGATAAACGACAGTATTAAGGGGGATCCCATGTGTTTATCAAGACCCAGGTTCTGATGTGTGTGTGTGTGTGTGTGCGTGTCTGCAAGGTTTCCTGCCCTCCTCTTCACTCTGCAAAAAGAGAGGGAGAGGCTCCCAAACAGGGGAGCGCTCAAGTGGAAGTGATGGAGGGGACAGGCAGTGACAAAACGTACAGGGGGGGGGAGGGATGGGGGTGAGGCAGAGGGTGACCGGCCCCAGACAAATACCCTCACACGCAAACCACAACAACAGGAGAGCTGAACAAAGCTGACAGCCGGAGAAGCTGAACACAAGTTGGAAGGCCGGATCCAGGCAGCCGGGAGGTTCTCCGCCTGCAGGCTGAACGCTTGTCTCAGAGTTTACTAAGTTCAGACAGCGAGAAAGAAACCGGTACAAAACTCACCCGGACTTTGAGTGCAAGTCGCTGACCTTCCTGATTTCCATGTGGAAAAAAAAAAGTGTCCCAAGTCTCAAATGAACTATGGATTTGTTGAATGCTCCGCTAGTTTTCAGGGCATCTTTCTTCCTCTTAGAGAGGGACCGGACCGAGTAACTGGAAGAGCCAGATATTAGAGAGAAGGCTTCTGGCGAGTCCCTTCTCCCCCCACCGAGACCCGAAGCTGCCTAGCGGGAGGCACTGATTGGCCAGCCGATGACGTCCGGGAATATTTCAGCGCCGCAGATAGCTGCTAGCGCCGCCGGCCGCCTGAACAACAGAGAGAGAGAGACAGAGACAGAGACAGGGAGAGAGAGAGAGAGAGACAGAGACAGAGACAGGGAGAGAGAGAGAGAGAGAGAGAAAAAAAAGAGGCCTCGCATTCCTGGCTGGCTTCAAAGACGGAGCAGAGGACGGGCGCCATTCATTCCCAAAGCCCCGAGCCCGGCACATGGAGACTAGCCAAGGCAGGAGGGGAGGACGGAGGAGGGGGAGGGGGGTATGGTGGTGGGGCTGGTGGGTGGATGGGTGACCTCCCAGCCTCCACCCAAGAAAAGAGGAACAAAAAACAGTCACAAAGACTAACTATCCCCCACCACCAGGCTCATTTCCTGTTGGACAACGTTAGTCTGTATTGTTCCGTTCTTTAAAACCATGTTGATGGAAGTCGTAATGACATCACTCAGGTAACCAACTCTAATGATCAGATTCATTAATCTAAGATATTGTATAAACTATAAGAAGAACTGGCCTCTTTTATTTCATTTTGTGTAAAAAGAGGAGATGCATCATGATGGATGTCTTTAAAAAAAAAACACAAGCGGAAACAGTTTTATGATGCTTTAAGAGGTAAATACCAACTTTTTTTGGGGGTTTTTCCAAAATCCCCAGGAAAAGGGGGGCCAATAAAACCGAGAGGGGGGGAAAGGAAAAACCGGGGGACCCCTTTCCCCCCGGGGACTGGCAAAGGACCCTTTAAGTGGGGGGGGAGGAAGCACTCCACCAAAACCCCTTTTTTTTTAAAAAACCAACCCCACAAAGGTGGGCCAAGGAAGCTTTTTGGTTTTTAAAGTTTTTTTTTTTAAAAACTAAGGACGGAGGGAGAAAAAAAGAATAGGGGGGGCTTTTGGGAGGGGGGAATGATGGGGGGGGGGGGGGGGGGGGGGTTTAAATTCTTTCAGCTTCTTTCTTTTTTTTTGTCATTCATTGGTGATTATGTGTTCCAGCGTGACCTTCCCCATGCGGCCACGAGACCGGACCACCAGGCGCCTGAGAAAGCCCAAGGCAGAAATGGACGGAGAGGGGACGCGGACACAGGAGGTACAGGAGGACAAAACAGCGGCAGGGGAAACGAGAGAGGGGGAGAGAGAGGGGAAGACGATGGAAACAAGCAGGAAATTCGGGCAATAAATAGTGGCTAATGCTGTGGTAGCCAGCCAAAAGCAGTAAGCTTGTTAGCCTCGCCAAGTGTGCGGATAGAGGTGATGATGGGTCGACGAACCTTTGAGCTAAATGGAGAAATCGCTGTCATCACTTGTCCTCTCAATCAGAAGCACCTTTACGCTGCTCGCTGAAACCCTGAAAACAGCTGGCCATCTCCTTTCCGCCACAGCTGTGATCCATTGGGTGTCGTGAAACTGCTTTCGTGGAGATATCGTAGACTGGACGGAGGGGGTCATGGAAACTAAACTCTTCCCATGATGCACCACTCCTGCTTAGACATACGAGTGATTTCAGGTATCTGCTGTATTATTCAAATCGTTCCACGGACCACGAAGGTCTTGGTTAAAAAGTGAATCATTATGTTGATCGCTCACTCATTGTACAGTACAGGCCCCTAGAAACCCATCGCCAAACTTTCTCCCCTTCATCAAAATCCAAAATCAAACTCGGGGATCGGAGTGTCCCGCGGGACGAGACGGAGGGGAAGCGGTTTCTTAAAAAAAAGGTGGAAGCGGCCGGTCGCTGGCGAGAAGGAGAAAGCCACGTCGCTGTGCACCGCTACCACCGACGTCTGCAATGCTAATACTGCTCTGTGTGCGTCAACACCCCCCCCCCCCCCCCCTCCCAAAACAAGACACTGCTAGGAGCGTGCAGGGGGGAGAGAGAGAGGGAGGGAGGCCGTGGCTGTGTGTTGCCGGGCAGTGGTCACGTCGATGTCTGAAATCTCTAACTGATCAAGACAAGCTGTCACACTCTAATAAGCTCTGCATTCCGGCCTTGATCTGCCCCAAATACTTACTTGACAATATTAACATTTGGACTTGTTAATTACACGCTGGTGTTTTCACAAAAAAAGTTGCGCACAGGCTGAAATGGGGCGACCGCGCTGACGGCCCGGGGCCGTCCGTTGGACGCCGGCACGCTGCAAACGTGCACACAAAATGCAACAAAAGCTCAACAGGGGCGTTATTGATAATATTCTCCGCTGTATTAGAAAACACTTCTGGTCAACCATTAACCAGCACCTGCAGCTTTCAACCCAAACACTCTGTGAATGATACACTTTCCACGACTCGCAAGAGGCTTCTGAGAAGACAATTACTTTTGTATTACGGACCCCCAAGGGGCAGCGGGCGGGAGCGGGGGGCTGCAATATGATCTAGTCATGGTGAATTTATTAACTGGATACTGTAGGAATTCCTCCAGCCTAGAAGAGTCCGAGGCTGTGGGCGATGGGGGGGGGTTCTGTTGGACTGTAGGCGTGTTCAGTCTAAAAATGGGGGACACGCAATTTCACCGTTACCGCCGAGTATCGTTTACGGTCTTTGATATGTATGTTAAAAGACAAGGACATATTATTCTGGCTCAGAGTCCAATGTGTGATGATTGTAAAAAAAAAGGACGTTTATGGAAGCAATCGCGTTCTAAACAGCAGAACAGTGGTACTGCACCTTTAAGAGGAAATGCGATGCCTTTTAGCAGGAAACAAACTTTTGTTAATGTTGTTTAAAAGGTGGTACCTCCTGACGTCACCCGACGGATGACCCTCTCAAACACACACACACACACACACACACACACACACACACACACACACACACACACACACACACACACACACACACACACACACACACACACACACACACACACACACACACACACACACACACACCGGCCTAGCCGGGGGACCAGGACGCGGAATGTGTGAAAGGAGGAAAAGCACCGAAAGTGAGAAAAGAAGAGGACAGCGAGGACTGGAAGCCGAGGACAAACACCGCAGGAAGAGAAACACACACAATAACAAATGACGCACTTCCTGTTCCAAGGTGGGAAAAGTCTCAGCCCCTGCAATCGTTTACTGGAAACGTCCATCCTTAAAAACACTCTATTGTTCTTGGGTCCCCAGCGTCTCCTTCAGCTCGGGCCTCGTCTCTCGTAATCCGCACACGCTAGTGAACACGCTAGTACCCGCAGGGACAGAACCGGGGACGCACCGCGGCCGCCGTGACGCTGTGCGTCAGACACAGAGGTCAAGGGCTCCCGGGGGAACGCGAGCTGCACGGCGTAAAGGCGCCGTTTTCGTAAAGAAGTCGGCCGCTATTCTTTGTATCCTGATCGGAAAAATAAGAAAATTCAAATGACTAACTAATTAATTTGGCACCATCAACGAGAGCACGTATCGGGTTGCGTTTTATAGAAAGTCGGCATGAGATAAAGTTAAGCAGATAAGCTAAAAACAAACTGGGTAAAGAACAGCAAAGTCCTCGTGAAGTATTTATTGTTACACAATGAATGTATTAATGCTCGTAGGCAAAAGCTGTTAATGTACTTATCAAACATTAAAGACCGGACAATATGTGCTGGTTCTTTCTTCGTTTTTTTACACATTCGCATATAGGGACCTCGGATCTAATGTCGGAAAATAGTGAAAAGTAAACAATGTTTCGTCTTCGAGAGTTAGAAAGTGCTACACTGATGCAGCGGTAAAATCACAATATCCTTTTTGTTTTTACGGCCTACTGCAATGCAGAGGAAATGGTACATGTTGGATTATGTATTTCTAGCAATAACATCCAGGGAAGAACCTGGATGAAATAAATGAAATAGACAGGAACAAAAGAAACTGCAGATTCTTGTGGTTCCATCTTCAAGTCATAGATTTAATATGTCAATTAAATATAACCAAATACCTGAAAATGAATTCGATTTGGCATTCCCCTCAGCATCAGCTGCACGTTAGATCCTAATGGGCAGATTTGTCCTCATGCTTAACGAACAACGCGTTAGCGCTGCGATCTTGTCGCCTCAAAGAGCCTCCATGAAGTAGGGAACGTGACGCACAGAGAGAGGGTCAAGAAGGCAAACAACATTAAAAAAAGACAATAAAACAATCTGCTCTGGGCGAGCACGGGGACGAGAAACCATCAGCAGGGCAAACAGCTGACACTTTATGGCGGCATGGCACCCTGACCCCTCCTTATCGCTGGTTTGGTTGTTTGGCAGAGGCACAGCGAGAGGAATGGGCCGGGTTATCGGGCCGGGGCGGCTACAGCAAACACGTCGGCGCGCCGCCCTCGGGTTCAACCACGGGAAAAAAGGAAACATGCAAATCCAAGGATCGAGCTTTCCGGGGGGGGGGTGGGGTGCGATGCCCCGCTCGCCTCG